TTTTGGGAATCAGTGGACTGAAATAGCTTTAGATTAACTGGATATCCGTGAAGACACCTTAAAACAATGGACTAAATGACTCAATAACTTCGTGAAAGTTGGCAATTTTCAAGGTTATTACGACGAAAAATACCGTTTACAGTTATATTCAAATTTCTTTGAAACGAAACAATATTTAGCCAAATAAACCTTGATTTCATATTATAGTACCTGGGCCTACCAATGTACAAATAATAGGCGAAATCAAATTTTGAGCTCTGTCCGCCCGATCTTTGATCCTTACTGACATCAACTCTTAATCTTTTCTTGGAATGAACTGGTTGCCATCGCAACATTAACGACTGAAACCCGATTTCACTTGATAGGTTTGAGGTGCTTTTTAAGTAGATCCATGATGCTTAAAACCAGCTCAATTGGATGTATTTTGTGCTCTAAATTTGAGGGGGCCGAAGAAGGTTTAAAAATGATAGTCTTTGTATTTGTTACTTATTAACTCAGATTAAACAAATCTGCCCAACTTTACTTGTTGACTGGTACGTAGGTTCGTATACTTGCCTCCTAACTATGTTCAGCAGTTTACTAGAAATGGTTATGATCCAGCGACTTTTTTAGTTATGACCTACTCTATTGGTGGATTTCAACCAGAGTTCCCCCTTAAGTACAGTTTTAACCTTTACTGCAATTACCCATTAATTAAGATCATTTTAAAGTTATCATCAACCTTTCCTTATTCCACAAATGTATTTCGATGTAGAGTAAACAAGCTCTATGAATTTCTTGTAGTAGCCATTCCTGCTTATTGCCTGCAAAATAATCCTCCAAACATCTGAAACTTCAACTAATCCAAGGATATTATTTCTGACAATCAGTAAAACCAGAGAAATACAACTCAAGTCAAATGTTAAGTCTGTCAACATTCTGGCTCTACCACTCAGCCAATGAAAAGCATTGTAAACATGAGAAAATAATTTTTTAAGCCACCAAATAGACCAGCCTCACCTATTCATAGAAGAAGCCATTGTCTCTAATCATCTTGGACCTAATGCATATTAAATCAACAAATTTATTCCTCTCATCTCTCTGGTCAGTTGACTTTGCATACACATCAACAATCATCCAGGTTTTTCACACCATCTACTGCTTGATTCACACCACTATACCTTCCATGTATGAAACCAATGATGGCATTAATCATTAATGTACTGTAGCTAGTTGATATCATTTACTAGTTCAAGGTGAAGTCACATGGGAGTGCATGAATCACCTGCTCATGGCCCCACCCTTTAAAAGATGACAAAGAAGGTCATACTCTGTAATCTCACAGACAAGGCCAACCAAGAAAATTTCACAAGTAGTCATTTGCATTAGCTCTTCATATACACAACTGGGAACAAGCCAAAGCTATTGGTAGAGTTAACATTACCACAACATGTGGAGGAAAACAAGACCATTACAGCTTAAAGATTCACCAGCCATGAATCAACAGGCCTTCAATAGCAGGAGAAAAGGACAAGAGAAAGGAAGACAGGTGTGCGGATAAAGAATCAAGCAATATTTTGTCTCATCTTCTTTCTTTCTTCTTTCTTTCCTTTTTTGGGAAAATTTGAAAGAATTTTTCTGGAATGGATTGCCACGTGAGGACACAGCTAAAGTATGTGCATTGTTTTGAAGAAAATAGAAATATGTTTCCCCACAACTATCCACGAGTGATCCCAGGCAAAATGAATACCAAGCAAGATACTCCCCCAATGAATGAGAATGCTCTCAATGACCAAGTGGAGTCATTGTGCTCCCTTTTAGGACATTTTATGACCACATAGTAAAAAAGCACAAGGTAGATTCAAGATGGCGATGAAAAACAAACATCCTGCATTAAATTTAGTCTTGTCTGATTCAGTAAAAAGCCAAAGAAGCTAGGTGAATCAAACAAATGGAAGGCTGAACAGCCATTAGTTAAAAACTGGTATAAGAGAAGGGAAAGAGACAGTTTCAACCTTCATGGAAGGTGCTATTTACTGTATTTATAAGTGCTAAGATGGGAAGATACACATTTAGCTGCCCAGTCTCAGTGGCAAAAACTCAAGAGTTTTGGCAATGTACACAGAACAGAAAAACCTGTTGATACACTGCATGTAACTATGCAAGTTTGTTGTCTTCCAAACCTGAAGGCTTAAGCTCCATCCTGCTTTTGGTTGAGATTATGCTGTCTATGTCTCCTTGCACTGCAATGTGTAAAACAAACGCCATTTCTCAGCTATGAAAATATTAAAAACAAGCCTTAAAATTAACATGGAGCAAACCACTTAAAAAAGCTCGCTCACTTTCAAGAATGTTGAAATGTCCATCAGTAAATGATGTAGTTAATAATGCACGAACATTTTGTCCTGCCTATTGGGCAAGTAATATTCTAGTAGGGCTTAATGAAAACTGAAATGTAATAACACACTGAGCAACTGGATTTCAAAATTTTTTCTAGCCCTTTTGATACATATGTATACATTATTTCTTATTCACATTGTTCATTTTGATTTGTGTAATTTTATTAATTTCATCTATATCTATTCTATACACATTATGTAACATATATATATATATATATATATAAATCTAAAAGTTGCACAAATCAATAAGACAAAACTTTTCTCTGACTGAGTTTCACGCTTATGTGATCATCAGACAGATGCTATAGTAAAAGTAAGTAAAGCCTTAACATGAGCCCAAGTGGCCCATGGGGCCAGTGCTTAACTCTGGTTTTCTTAGCATGAAGCAGCTAGGAGTATTGCTACTCCCCCCTGGATGGGATGCTAGTCCATTGCAGGGTTACCCCCTGCACATTTGCTGGTACCCATTCGTACACATGGATGAAGAGAAGCACTGTGAGAGTAAAGTGTCTTGCCTAAGAAAACAACACAATGACCCCAGCCAGGGCTCGAACCTGGACCACTCGATCTGGAGTCAAGTGCACTAACCATGAGGCCACCTTGCCCCCACCAAGGATAGACTAAAATCAAGATTTAATTATATATCTATATATATTTTTTATCTACGCTGATGTGATGTGTGCAGGTGTATACAAAATTGCTGTTGCATAGAAAGTGTGTTTGAAGCAGCAAATGATGTGAAATAATTTTATGCAACAAATGAAGAAGAGGTCATCAGTAATGCACATCATACAGCAATGTGACAGCTTTATCATCAGTCATACTAAAGGCTATAGACTGTGAACCCTTGAACAATATAAATAAATAAAATTGCCACTATCTCAAACTCCATGAATGGGAGGTTTGTGGTTCAAACTGTAACAAAATCTCATAAATGCAAAAATTTCTCCTTGATATAATTTTTCGAGACACAACCTCTTTCTTCACAGAAAACAACAAGCACACATTTTTCATGCCCTAGTTTTTTAAGGTTATTTTCCCATTTCATACCTGATTTCCAAGTAACCATTCACCACCTCATGTGTATCTTGTTAAACAGCTAGTCAAATGGCAAAATGAACAGTTACTGCCTTGGTAGGGCACTAGTGGTCTTGAGGACTCAACCGCCATCATATCTAAGCCTATGCCTCTTTCTGCAAGGATTGTGAGATAATCAAACATGTGCTTGTGTCACCATAGGCAGCCCAGGCTCCAGCTGTGAGATGATCATCTTGCATAATAGGAGTCATGGCAAAAATATAAGAGTTTGTATGGGAATATTTACAACCACTGTTTGGAATAAAACTTGAAAATACATTCAATGTAGTGTCGTCATTCAGACATAGAGAGACTATTCCTTCTTCATTGCCAAAGGCTAACTGAACTTTATTGATGAACACGTTACACATATACAAGTATAAGAGTTTACTGACATATAGTAATTTTACAGCATGCAGTTATTTCCAGTACAGTAGGATTACTGCGAGTAGTACATTTACTGAATTAAGTACAAAGTGCTCACCTTAGAACCCATACTAAGGTTGTTGTCAATGATTAAGATAGGTACATGTATAATCAATACACTACAGCCAACAAAGCCATTTTAGCGAGTTATCCATTTCTGGGAAACTAAGAAATGGATAACTTGCTAAAATGGCTTCTTTTCAACATAACAAGTGGTCACACAACAAGCAATACACTGTGGAAGTAAGGTGAGGTACTTTTATTGAGAATTTGACAGTATTTTTACTTCCTAAGAACTGTCCTAAATATTCCCAAGAAAATTCATATTTTTGCCATGACTCTTATATTGCAAGATGATGGTGTCACCAAAAAAGATTGACAGCATACATAACCAACCCACTTTGCTCTGTAACTTTTAGTATTGATCTACATGTAACTTCTCCCAATATCTCCATGCATCATCCAGCAAGATATTTTCTTGATCAAACACCAAATTCTAGTAGCTAAGGGGAGAATTAACAATCAAATTTTGGGAGTTAACGATCTCCACTTTTATTAACCCTGAAAGCAGAATAAGAAGTATTACAAAACAAAAAGCAAGCTAAAATAAGCTGGAAATAGCTTCTAATAGCTTCAAGCCTTCGAGGCCTGATCCTTTCCAACATGAGTAACGCTACACGTATCTCTCTCTATCTCTCTATGTTCCTCGTCTTTAACAGACCTTCACGCGACCCTTCATTGCTTTGAGATTAGTTCAAGCCCTGATAACAGTCTGCCGTACAGAGAAGGTATGATTCAGAGACGAAGAACGTGCTCACAACTTACAAATTTGATACACAATTAGTATGAGGTCAATTTCACCTTAAGCTTATCAACTTTTCAGTCAAGTAATAATTCCGCAAGAGCAACATGCCGTAAGTAAACAGTAAACTCACCATTTATCCGTAGAAGGTAACTGTGACTGACACAGGACAGAGTTAAAGAACAATCAAGAAAGCCGTATTTGTGGAAAGCTCACGCAAATGCGTGACGAAAAGTAACGATGCCAACAAGAACCAGAATGCAATGCGTCCTAACTAGTGGACGGTAGCACTTCCGGTATTCAGTTTCTTGTCAATCCATAACGCACGAGAGCTACATTTCCCTGGGCTCTCGGTGACGGACGTTCTTCTGTCGTACCAGTCAAGAAAGAAACTTTTAAGGATTTGTTTCTCGGTATTTCTGCAAGGTAAGGGGCCTGAACTTATAAGATTTTCTTTCATATTTTGACATCGGAGTAATGAATCAGGCCTAACCTTCTGAGGCAAGTTTAGTACCGTAGAACTATCAGGCGATCTTAACGAAAGCTATAGCGGTACGGTGAACCAAAGTTCAAAATGCAGCATAATCAAGAAGTCCTCCTTCATTGGACCAATGACGCCAAGGAGTCGCATTTGACAACAAACAACTCTTCTCGTATTATAAAGCCAGAACGCTTCGGCCTCCGCGAAAAGTTACGCAGAGCTAGCGGATCTCCTGCTATCAAACTTAGCTGTGCTTCCGCTTTCATTTCTGTTCCATCGCATCTCTGTGTTATCTAATGCTGTAACTATAATCGTTGAAATGCCTAAAAATCTATTACTGAAACGAGTGCAGTCTGCTTATCATTCAGTAACTATTTAAGAGTGTCGCTGAGGAGCCCGACGGCCTCTTGAATGCTGAGCCGGCATAGGGTAAAATATATACTGGACCATTTTTTGGACCATTTTTTGGACCATTTTTTGGACCATTTTTTGGACCATTTTTTGGACCATTTTTTGAATGTTCTTCATTTTTGTCGTCCTGCGAAAGCGAAACTGCCACGTGAACACTGGACTTTGATTTCTATTGAAAATATCGCGTTTAAGATCCTCTACTGTTGAGTTAAGGCTGTGCCTTTTGAGTCGACATGTGTACCATCAGTTGCTTCACGTTTCCCTTTTGGTCCAAAATGGTCCAGTCCATATTTTACCCTATGCCGACTGAGCCTGTATGCCTGGTGCTTTTCATGACTAAGAAGATCAATTTCTTCATAAATTCTTGTCAACGGACATCCCGGTTCACGGTTCGTTTAAGTGATTATCTCCCGAATCCCGTTCATGATAGCAATCCCGCATCTCGCTCCCTACTTACTTTAAATTCCCGAATCCCGGCCTTTAATAAACCCAATCCGGATCTCGAAAAACCTAGCTATTGGAGGCCCTCGGAATAGTACTGGGGAAAGAAATATTGGCGATTTACAACGGTAAATATTCCGAGATATGAACATTTTACACGTAACGGATCATTTGAATTTATTCACTCATGTTTGTGTGTCCGTTGTAGTTTCTGACATTCTCTGCCGTTTTAAGCTTGCTTTGGGCTTGCTTTGCTATCACTATTATTCGGCCTGATATAGGAAGGAGTCTCATAAGACTCATATAACAGCTATAAGACTTATAAGTCTTGTAAGTCTTGTTTAGGATGAACCTCGCGGTACAAAACTTAAAATTTTAAGATTAACTTAAAATTGCATAAGTAATTCATGTCTTTTCCAGGAGTCTTCCCGATAGAAACATGGTCATAAGCTGGTTGAGGTGGTTTATTCGCGCGACCATCCTTTATGGTTCAGTCACACACCAAGAGGCAATTGGCAACAAAACTCAAACACGTGATTGTCTTCACGTGGATCCAGCTGGTAACAAATACAATTTGACTTCGTTGCGGAATACAGATGGAACTGCAAGGTGAGTTAAATACCAGAGAAGTATTTTACCATGATATCTGGGAATTGAATTAACCTAATGCTCACTGAAAGAAAAGTGTGATAAGAACCTTGGTGCCGCTTATTTGCTCTTGCAACATTTTCAGCCCATGTAAACAAGTTGTTGAATATAAATACCACAGCGTTGTGTTAGATAGAGCTGGCCACCGATGAGGTGCATGGGTCACGGAAAAGATCAATACTACTACAAGAAACGTAAACAGATTATATTTGAAATATAAACAGCTATATTTACACATTCACGACACAGGTAAACTCAACGAGTTATTTCGAGATAATTTGGTTTTATTAACTAAGTCGATAAAGAGTTTCTAAAGCTAACGTTGCGAGCATCTGCTGGTAAACGCTCGAAAAGTCAGCTTTAGAATCTCTCCACAGTAGCCAATTCACCTTATCAACTCAGTTGATACGCAGCACTAAAGTTTAAGTAGAAACTTACCCCTTCATTCTCGACTTATTTCGATGCTCTTCTTTCGCGTTTGAAATTGCTTTTGAGTGGCTAGAATATGTGCTCGTTCGTTTGTTGTTCGTTTGGTTTAATGCTTGGTCTTTTTTTTCCAACGAAAACTCTTTTAAGAACACAGCAATTTTCTTAATAGATGAAATAATAATAATAAACTGAACAACTATTTCTCTTCATTAAAACCACGAGTAACGTAGAACTTAGAATTTAAACAAAACTTCCCTTGGAAGGATGATTTAAAAGAGTCGAAAAACCAAGATACAGATTGCAGATAGTTATGGTATAAAATATTCTCACCATTAATCTTTGATGTAAACGACAAATAGGCCGCTTGGCCGTGGATGCGGTGAATTGGAGGCCGCTAATTACGAACTATGCATTTTCAGTGTATGTCTGCGGGCTTACACGTGAAAAAACAGCCGCAGAAATTGACAGATAATCAATCAGTGACTCACTGCGGTGTTATTCATTGCATCTCGACATAATCTTTGTTAGCTCTTAGTCCTTGTCTCTCTATAATAGTTTTCTTCTAAGTTCTAAAATCTGTAAGTTATTGGCAAGACAGCGAGTAGCACAATGTGCTTGACAGTCTCTCACAGTGCTCATGCAGCAATGTAACTGTTCTACCTTACTCCAACGCAACAGTACTGATATAAAGCTATTTCTTAAGTTAGTTGTCAAATACGCTCTGGTGACGCAACTTGTGACATTATTCACCAATGATATGTATTACTATAAGTTCGGTCGTTGTAAACACGAGACGAGATATAATCGTTTTTTTTTTCTGTTAGTCGTTTCTTTAACAGTTGGCTGACTCGTGGCCAATCCCTATGGACCAAGGTGCTCCACTTCTCCCTTTTGACAATATACTAAACATATTTCTTTGTGAATTAGGCTATTTGAAGGAGACTTATGAGCAATAAATTGGTCTTAAAATGCTGGAAATGGCCGTTTTAGAGACTCAAATTTTCAACATTTTCTGGGAGAGCATAATCCCAGACATTCTCAGAACGGTCGCACCGACGGCGCTGTCGCAGATTATCCAGAAAACCACCAAAATTACCTCGTCGAACTCTAACTTTATGGCATAACGCATTTACGAGTACGATTTCTAGTTTGGGCGCTGGCTAAATCTGACCGAAAATTTGTTTGTTAACCTACTTCTACAAAAGGGAATTTTTTCCTTTTTAATTTAACAGAATTGAGTGATCGAGTGTAACTAACTTAACCACTGCATCTATGATACGGAACCAGCCAATGTGTGCAGACAAGAGACAGTAACATCATTAATGATTATTCTGTTGTTCCTGAAACAGATTTCATATAACTAAAGATGGATGGACGTATAGCTTTAACCCCTGCGTGTCATTCAAGATAGGAAAGACAAGCGAGTTTAAAGAATGCCACTGGGATGTAGCGGTAAGTCTATTTCCCTTAGATACTGCTTCTCTGACCGGGTCCCATAAATTTGCGAACATCGCTAGTGGTCCCCTGATGCAAGAAGTTGCAACAGCAGTGGCCCAACCTCCTATAAAGAACCATCTTGCTTTGTTAACTGTTTCGCTTACATCATTCTACTGATCATGCAGTACTAAGTATTATTGACCAGGTGCAAAAAGCTATTAAAGACCATGATTACTCTTGCGGAATATTCCTAGACCTCAGCAAAGCATTTGATACTATTAATCACAACATTCTACTTACAAAGCTTGAATACTGTGGTATCAAAGGTGTTGTATAAGACTGGTTTAGCTCATATCTGAGGAACAGAACTCAAACGGTATCACTTGGTTTAGTTATTTCTGTCATGCAAACAGAATTTTGTGGGGTGCCTCAAGGATCAGTACTGGGACTACTCCTTTTTCTTAGTTATTTAAAATGACTTTCACAATTGCTCAAAACTATTAGGTTTCACCTTTTTGCAAATGAAGCGAATTTATTTTTGAGTATAAGGACCTCAACATTCTTGAAAGTGAAATTGACAGTGAACTTGGAAAAGTACATTTTGGGCTATTTGCTTTCAGTATATATTGAAAAGTCGAATTTTGTTATTTTTCATCCAGTACAAAAACAAATTCCCAAAAAGGTTATGCTATACATAACTATACATGAATCAATCATTAACTTAGATATCTTGAAGTTTACATATAGTCAAATATTAGCTGAAGAGCCAAATTGACTATATTTCTAAAATAAATCAAAAGAAGTATAGGTATTATCTCTAAGCTTCGTTATTTCCTAAACACAAAAACGTTGCTAAGCCTGTTTTTTACCTTAGTAGAGCCATTCTTAAATTATTGTATCATTGCTTTGAGAAATGCATATCAGTCCACTTTGCAACCCTTATTTATTTATTCAGTTGTAAGGCACGCAGGAAGCCGCCAGAGCACAAGAGAAGTGTAGGGAGAAAAACGAGACGTTGTCAAGTGTTTCTCCCCACTTCTCTTTTGAGCCAGACCTACACACCTAAACCCGAAAGAAAAATTGTCAGGTTTAGGTGTGTAGGCAATGAAACCCGAAATAGTGCTGTGGACGTGTACCGACTGGCTAGCACGCGCAGGAAAGGCCCTGACATTCGGCGAAAACAATAGCAAATGCAGACGATATTTGCAGTCAAAAAGCTGGCAAATGAAATAACGGAGGGTTTCAGAAGTTTCCAGAAGTGTTTTATTGAAAAACGAAGATAAACAATTTCTACTTCTCCAGAAAGGTCACGCAGTCACGCCACTACACTAAACTACAATACAATACTTTATTTACCCACGCTACATCTAGGAATGATAAAAACTTGTTAAAACATGTGCCTGAAACGAAAAACGTTAAAAAGAAAAGAAATGATTTAAAGTTACCATTCTTAAATCTATCGAAAAACTTGCTTCTTCAAAGACATTAAAAAGCAGAAATACCCTTGACGGCTAACATACGTAGGTGACGAATTTCAAAGTTTTGCTTCCAAAAATGAGAATGATTTATGGCGCCATACTATATTGAAATTGGGTAACGTTAAAAGTGTCCCCGACCCTTTTAAATTATAATTGCAGAATGTTAATCTTAAAAAATTCTTCTATATACCTTAGGGTATACCTTATCAATACATTTACATACCAAAACTAGGGCCTGGAATTTTCTTCTTTCTTCCAGCGTTCTTATAACAGCCATATTTAATAAATGATTGTATGGTGTATGCTTTCCATACCCTAAAATAGATTTAAGAATATAATTATTGGTGTCTTCTAGTTTTCAACTTGATCTCTTCCAACTCCAAGTAATAGCGGACGACAATATTCTAAATGAGGCAAAATATACGCTTTAAAAAGGCGGCACATTACGTCTAAAGTAATAAACCTGCGAATCCTAAATAACGCAGAGGCTTTGGCACACGCCTTTTTTACTTGTTCGGACACATGAGCGACAAAATTGAGCTTGCGATCTAATGTAACACCAAGGATTTTAAGTGTATCATTGGCGTCCACTTCATGGTTATCTAAACTGTAATTACAGCGATATGGTACTGGACCTACAGTCATTGCCTGTGTCTTAGGTGCATTGATCTGTAGATAGTATTTCTGCGAGGAATTTCCTGATGGTGGAAAGTGGTAAAAACATTTTCTAGTCTTATTTTCTGGAAACATGGCGCAGTTAATGAATTTCATGTGGCTACTGATATTTCCTTTAAAACGAGGGGGCAAAGCTGCCCGTCATCCACGGTCAAGTGACCACCCAGAGCCAGAATTGAGGGTCTGGATGGGGGTATCTCGAAAACACTAAACACTAAAATTTTACCTTCTATAACATCAAACATTAAAATTTTGGGCTGTTTAACATCTAACACTAAAAAATTCTCTGAAACACTAAAATTGATACAAATGCTCCAGATATTAAGCTTTGTAATGGATTTTTGGTATCATGATACAAATGCCAATTGTTTTTAGTAGTTCCACTATTTGCTAACTGCCATGCAATTATATTTTGGCAAAATATGATTTTCTTCTTACACATGAAACACACGTGCAAACATCAATTTGAAAAACATAAACTGCTTTATTTCATTAAGTTCAAAATATCAACAAAAACTATGCATTAAGACTCTATCAGCAGTACTACAAATGCTGGTCAAAGACATTGGTTTTGAGATCTAAGGAAAAAGCTAAACAATCTTTGTGTGTACAACAAATATTATCTATTGGTACATGGTAATGACATGTCTATGCATGAGTTCTATAATAATCTAGATTTTCATCCAAAAAAAGGTTCTTTTATACAACAATATATTCTTCAGTAAGGTTTTTACTTGTCAGAGCCTGTTTCTATGGCATCAGCACCAGTAAAGTCCTCCTGCTCATCTTGTGACATGGAATTGCTGCTTGATGCTGAAGAAAGTCGTTCACAATTTCCTTTTTTCCAAAGGCTGTCCAGGGTGTGGTTGTTTTTCACTAAACGCTGTGCTTTCTCGTAATTTCTTTGGCACTTATTGAAATGTGCTACAAAGGACAAATTTTTAGCAAAGGTGAACAGTGTATTCCTAGGTTTACATTTCTCCACCATGGGGATTATTGAAAAAATGATAAGGGAAGTTCAACTTAATTATAAACATTCATTAGTCTTTTAGAAGATCAGCTGAATACAAAAGACCAGAGTTACTATCACCTAAATACACTCGGAATTATTATTTTTTCTTATTCTGAGTACTGAAACATGTGATCTGCAGTAATGATATTGGTAAATTAAAAATATTTGTTTAAACTTACTGATTTTGAAGTAATTGACCTTCCCTTGGGTGGTTCTGCTGGACTTAGTACTGATAAAATACGGTTTCTTGCAGACTCCACAAGTAAATTTCACCTCATTAAGAGCTGAGCTTCCAGCAAGCTTCCCTAAGTCTAAGCGAGATAAAAGTAAACACATAAGTAAAGGTAAAAGTACAAGTAAAAGTAGAAATTCAAAAACCACCTATTTCATTAAAATTTACCTGCTTGAAGCTCATCTAATTCATGCCTCTGACGCACATTTCTCACAACTTTATTGTCTCGCAAAATATTTTGAACTAGTTCTTTATCTTCCAGACATTCTTGTCTTCTTTTCCTACTTCTATTTCTCGCAGAATCTGATGCTCCAGGCTCATTGTCTATGATGGCAATTTCTGGATCTTTATCTTCTGAAGAACTTGTTGAAGTACCAAGAGGTTCTTTAGGAGTTTGCTTCACACCCGGTACAAGCACCATTTTCTTGTCTGACCAATTAATTATTTTCTGTACCACATGTACTTAAAAAAGATGAAAAAGAGGAAATTTTACTTTAGTATTTCATACTTATAACCTTCAAAGTAATTATCCTTTTCTAAGATCGAATAAGGATAATTTGTAACCCCCAATTTTCTAATACATATGTTGTGGTTATATTTATCATTAGTTCAAAACTTTTTCCTGCACTTTATGAATTCGACAGATCAGTTGTCTACTTACTATTGAGTTCACTTTGGGTTTCGTCAGAAACAAGGAGTGGCACTTCCATCTCCCACTGTTGTTGCGTAAGGATACGTAAATTCTTCGTTTTCCCGTGAGCACTCCTGGCCAGCCGGTACAGTTTCAGCTCGAAATTTCCCATACCCAGCGACGTAGCCATTTGCGAAATACCAAGAAAGTTGATCATATGCTTCCTGGCGTCCGTTAGATTTCTTTGGTCTATACCGATTGGAATTCTACTGCGATGTCTCTCAAAAGCATCTTCCTCGCCACATCTATAAAAGCTGATCAATACTTCCGCAATTCCCGCCGATGCGGACGAGGCGGCCATTTTGCATGCAGAAGTCTGCTGAAAAACCGCTGACCACAGAATGTCTACAGAACTTATGCGCATGAGTACAAAGTATGCATGCTGACCAGTTCGGTTAGTTCTGCGCAGACTCTTCTCCTTTTGTTTCTAGTTTGCACGCCTTTATCATAAGAGCTAAGTTTGAACAAATCTTAGTCCTTTTTTCTAATATTATTGCTTTCTCTGTAAAACTTTTATTGACCTTTATTGAGTGAAATCGCTGTTCTAATACCTTTTAACACTTAACACTAAACTTTTTTTAAACGCTTAACATTAAAATTTTACCCATTTTAACACTAAACATTAAAAAAAACGGCCAAATAACACTTGACACTAAACCCCATCCAGACGCTCAGAATTACGTGACAGGTGTAGTTGAGAGAAGCTTATCACAGTCGCAGATTTTAAAAGGCATCTTGGACAAGAATACGGAAATGCCCAAAGATTTTTTAGATGTTTTTTATTGATGAAATGATGGATCATAAAGGGGAATTAAAATTATAGTTGAAGCGTTCTGGAAAGGGGAGGTTTTTTACCTCAAAGTTGTCAAATATTTGGATAAATCGCATAGTCTAAAAACACAGTCGTTTATTTGCCTTTGTTGATTGACAAGCCGTTGATCATGACTGATGGGTGCGTCGAACATTTACTAAGGATGTAATAATATGTGTGCAAACCCTCAGGATAATTGGTTAAATACCATCGCTGTGAGAGCTTCATACATTTTACCTTTTTATGAAGCGATTTCCTCGGTGAAAACCAAGAAAAACCGGGGGGTGGTCTATCTACCCCCGGAAAAATCTAAAACAAAAGCCAGTTTGTCTTTTTGAGTTTTGCGGTAGACCCTTTAAACTGACAAAGTTTCACTGAAATGGGTGAGATGTGAATTATCCTGTATGTTGGTTGTTGGCTGTTGGCTGAATGAAATAATTACTCTGAAAAGTGTTGGCCTGCGATGTGACAGATAAAAGAAGTCTGGGAGACGCTTACTGTGTTCCATGTTGGGTGGGTTTTTCGAGACAGCCAGCTTGAGGGCAAAACGTGAAAAACTCCTGGTTGTATTCTCACGAAGATCTCACTTGGCCCTTATAAATTTCCAGGAATTAAAGAACATTAGTGTTCTCATTTTCGGACATAGAAAATGTTCAAAACAATTTGAGGCTGCCCGGTATTAAATGTTGATTAAATGATTCTCTTTTTAGATTTGCATGTGGGTGGCCGCACAAATAGGCTACAATATAGGACATCAGAGAACAGAACGATGTCTTTTTGACGAAGAAACCAAATTACCAATGATAGAATACAAAGGGTATGTAATATTTACTCGTGTTTCGCCTGCTATAAATGTATGCTATTCAGTTTTTTTGTGGCCTCAGCATTTGTTGAAAAGTCGAAAAGGAAGAACCGCAATCTCTAAGTAATGAACTGAAATCTTTATGTACTCGGAAACTTCCGGAATGCAACTCAGTGGCTCACGAGAATTAATGTTAGTCACTTGATAGCAACTTTAAATATGGTGTCGAAAGTCAATTCGGAATCGCTTTAGCTTGCTTCTCTTTACTATGTGATTCTATATGACACAACTCGCGCAACTTTCTCAAGCGTGCAATCAGCATAAAAATATACGCAATTGTCACTTGTTCATTTACGTTTTGCCGCGCTTCAGGCAGTTTACGTGTCTTTACTTTGATTTCCCAATGATTCCTTATGGCGCATATCCTTTGCTCTCATTTGCTGTTGTGAGTTTACTTTTACGACACTCGATTAAGATACACTCCATACTCCTCGTACTCCTAATTCTTAGTTAGCCACACTATTTAAGCTTTGTGAACTATTTTCAGTCTTAGAAATGTTCATATTTTTGAAACCGTTTATTTTAGTGATAGCCAAATTAAGACGTCAAGTGTGCTGCTCAAGTGTAATAAAGCAAAGGAACGTCCAGACTTTGAAGTTCGGTCGGTTAGCAATCCCTCGCGATTTGTAAGTAATTATCAATCATTTTTTGTTGAAGTATAGTATACTCCCGAGAAATGTTTTCTTCATCTGAGCTGTAATACTGTTATAGATTATTACCTTTATCCCTTGTAATGGTCAACTAACTGAAGACATGATCCTCGAAGGTGACTTGCTGCTAAACAAACCACAGGAAAGAAGCATGCCTGATATCCTCTTAAATACTAGTAGGGCACTTCTACCAACTGAGCCACGAAGCCATGTTTTTCTGTTTTAAAAGCGAGGCTAAATTAAAAGGGCTCTTTATTCCCGTAAAGGAATCTGATCACATTTTGACTTGCGGGTTATAAACAAGTAAAGAAATGATCCTTACAAGTGAGCTAAAAGCCTGAAAAAAAAATCGGCTGAATTGTGATAAAACTTCCATACGGGAAAGAAAAACGTCTAACATCTGCCTCGCTCCCAACAGTCGTATATCAGTTATTAGTCACAGCCAACTAGTATCTTTTTAGAGTCTATTTCTGTAATTTCTTTGGTTTCAGCTCACCTGTGAGGAAAATCTTTCTACTTTAGCACAATTCGAAGGTCAAAATGTGACATTTCATTTAATGTGGTTTGAAGTGGTTGATAATAGATCAATATATGGCTTTTGGATGACCCGTGAATTTACGTAAGTTGATGACAATATATGACTTACATAAGGGACTTTTTTTTAAACACAAATCATGTCTTTGCAACGACTATTCATACTTGAGACTCTCTTTCAACCATTTCGAAAATCTCTATCTGCTAGAAAATCATTACAATTTCTGCTGCTGTTTTAGGTTTTCAGCCTGACACACAAATGTGGGTGTCCCAATGTGTGTCTTTTTAAACCTATCACGCCCACTGAGGAGCCAGGTCTAGGTAAGTTCAAAGTTTAAAGCGTTACAGAGTTCTCATGACAAGAATAGTTGTAACCTCTTCTTCAGCATGCCATGTGACGAAAAAGCTTTGACTCACTTAAATCTCTGAAAACCAAAGGAACATAACGGCTGAAACAACTGCGTATGAAGCTGATCATTAACTATGTTCTATAAAGCAGCATCGGTTATCAGCTCAGCGAGGTTTGTCACAGAGAGGTTCAACCTGTTCTGGAGGAAGAATCCAACGTGGTTTATTAGGAACCGTGAGCTTAACAGTGTATTTTCTGATATATATCAAGCATGTACGTTGCTAACATTGTGTGCTTATATATACATTTTTAATTACTCCCAAGCTACCTAGAACGAGATCAGGCAACGGCACGAAACAAACCTCTTTATCTTCAGAGTTAAATGGATAAATTTTCAGTCCAACTAACGTTATATCTTGTCGACGCAATGAGAATGATTTTAATCCAATTTTTTTAAACAATTTTTCGTTTCTACTTGCGCAGATAACGAAAATTGGCGCATCGCAGCAGGTGGTATTGGAGGCTTGGGTATTGTCATAGTGATCTGTCTGATCGTTAGGAAGCTGAGGGGAATGAATAAACCGAACCCCCAGGTAGAAGAGGAAAATCGACCCATTCTGCCTGATCAAGAGAATGTAAATAGCTTTTCCAGTACAAGTGAACTCAGCGAATTAACCTTGGGGAGAGCCTCATCTTTAGGAAGGACCTCAACTGGTTCATCTACGAACAATGATATTAAAGAGATAAAAGAGGATCCTTCTGACAGCAAGAACAAATCCAATGCAAAGGGTCGGCGCTGAGGGTGTACACCAGTGCGTTGCTAAACCTTTCAATCATATTGCTCCTAACAATATAAACTAGCAAACTTTCATGAAATTTTACAAAAGCTGGAAACAGCTTCACTAGTAGGCTTGCGTGCCCTCTTAGGTCACTTAAGGAGGGAGTGTAATAAATTCAAATTGACATTTATTGATTACCCGATTCGCTCGTAATTACATGCGGATTTAATTCACCATGACCCCTTTGTTTAGTCACTTTGTATTCCTGCACAGCGTGGATTATTAGGTTGATGTGCGTCTGAACTTTTTACTTTACAATGGAAAGGCAGTCCTAATTAGTTTATTCAGAGAAAAAAGGAAGTGCTAACCACGTTTTTCAACGAGGGAATGACTTCCACCAAGAAAGCGATGTGCGACAAAATTCGTGCATGTGCCACAAGAGTCAGCATTTCGGAAGACCAAGTGAAGGTATTTTAAGCTCCCACGGCCTTAAAATGATTAAAATTCATTTTATCCTAGGCACAGGATGATTTTATGCATGTATGTTGTTAAGAGTTTCAGGCTGTTTGATGTTATTGTAATTTCATTTTTCCGATCTTTTGACCTTTTCTGTTACTAAACCATGTTGATTTAATTACGATCTGAGGTCATCTTTCGAGCAACTTTTTTATTTTATTACACACAGGCTTTACATGTAGTTACAGTGTAAGGTTTTCGCCAGCCAACTTAGTCCTGATTCTGCGTTGTATAGCTATAGCCTTTCACAAATGATGTGAAAGCCGTTTAATGTCGAAAGAAATTAAATTAGGGATGTGTTGTACTTTCTCTTTAGCTAAATATAAATAAGACGAGAAACCATCTAAAACCATCTTAAACCACCTAAACGCCCTAAAAACAGACAAACCTGGTTACACGAAAGTGGGGGACCCTAGGTAGGTGAGGTAACCTGCCTACCTGTGATTGAGAAATAGCCTGTGTTAATGTACAATCTTGCAACCCCAAGATCTCAACCTGTCTATTTGCTATAACTATTTTTTTCCTATCTCTCTCTCCCTCCCTCTCTCTACAAGAAAATTAGGGCACTTTCCTGATTTTTTCCTCTTTTAATGATAAATCAACTGTTTTCGTGTGGTAACTTTTAGCAACCCCTATGACAAAGTTTGACGACCCAAACTGTCTGCATGCGAGCGATTCACCAATACCATTTAATCCTCACTGAAACAGCTCGTTTCTTGTGCTTGTGAGGGCACGAAAGTGCCCTATATCGTGGTATCGGCCAATTTAAAAGCTGCCGTGTATGTGTATGTGTATCTGTTTGACTTTTCCAGTCAATGAAAGGTCTCAAAATTATACTGTAGGTAGAGCAATCATTTGGCAATGAAATAAGCAAACTTGAGAACAGAATCACCATCCGTTATTTTTTTTATGATGATTTGAAGTAACCGATGTCGGAAGCGGCAAATGTCACCAAAGTTCCCTATTTGCTAGATGTTACAAATGATTATTTCAGCGTATTTTTTGGAGACTGAGGCAGGAATGATCAATACTATCAAATCGTTCAATAGTGCAATAGCGACAATGACAATAGGCCAGACAAATGTGTGTTTTTATTTTCCAATGGAGAGTCCATGGTTTCCAGTTAAATCCACAAAGCTATGAAGTCCGTACAGAAAAAGGCCGAAGTCGAAGGCGCGCAAAGCTGTACGTTTAGAAAATCCGCAGTGTCAAGCGTACACAGCAGCAGCGACAGCAACGATACAGACCACAACAGCAGAGGCAAGTGGTGTTCGTAACTTATTTCCATCTTTGGAACTTGATAGGCTGAGAGCTATGTTTAAATAGATGATCACGACATCTGTACCAATATCAAAACCCAGGGTCAAATAAATTCTTCAAAAGGAAAATGGGGAAAGGAACTCTTTCAAAAAGCTTGTTAGAAGCGATAATTAATGGTGTGAAATACGAAAGGCGCCTTAAAAGAGCATCTAAGAAAGCTCAACATCAGAGTTGTCTTTAAAATAGTTAACAGTTGATGAAATCTGGACAAATGTGTTAGATGTCCAGCTTACATTCTTAAGCACCTCCTGTTTTGCTACTAGAAATTAATGCACCAAATTTTTATCCTGTCCTCTTCTACAGTTTTAAGTTCAACCTGGCACTTAAAGATGTTGCAACCCCGGGGGAAGTTAGTTGCATTAAAATGCATTGTAACTCAAATGTTTGTTCTTCGGAGTAAAAGTGTTACGACATTCCTGTTGAATCATGAACGGTCTAAATAACTACATAGTTTTGCACGCTTGTATACAATGTACTGTTATCAAGCGTCTTGAGAGATAGGTTATACAATCTAATTTAAGTCATCGTTTGTCTTGTCTCCACGTCTATGCAACTCAAAGAAACACAGTCAAAGTGTTACATAATATGATGGATTGTTCAATAAATGAGACTAGTCAGTGTTTAGAAACAACTGAGAAATTGTATCCAAAGCGGCTGGAAAAGCACCAAATTTGTTTGTGCTCTGTTTACTTTAAGTTTGATAACGAGTTAGGAAAATACCTGCCGCTTCTATTGCACTGAAAGTGACGTTTTTTCTTAGTGAAACACTAAATGAGCGTCACATAAGTTCCCTGTTCAGGTTACCAAAGTGACCTATTCAGGTCGCCAAAGTTCCCTAATGTCACAAAAGTTTCCTAGCGTCGTCACAAAATTTCCCTAGTGACGTCGCTTAAGTTCCCTATACACGTCATAAAAGTTCATAAGTCAAAAAGTTTCCTATTTTCGTCACCAAAGTTCCCTATTTTCGTCACAAAAGTGCCCTTTTTTCTGCCCTCTCTCTCTCTCTCTCCCTCCCCCTAGAGGTATGATGGGCACTTTTGTAACTTTGTTGTTTCTTCGGCCAAAAAGTCGCCCTTTATCTCTATTGAGACCCGGTTTTCGCATTTCCTGAAACTAGACGTTGCCCTTATTCTGCCCTGTGCAAAATCTTTGCCAGACTTTGAAAGCAAAACAAGCAAGGCAAGTTCTGCTTCACTTAGTAAAGAAAAAAAAAGGTAGATCGGAAATACAATTTGGCATCAAAACGATCAACAGAGTCCTTTCTGTTATTGACGCTAAGAAAAATTTAGAAAATCTGCTGGATTTTGTTCTCTTCAAGGAGAAATTTGTAAGTTATGCCAAAAAGAAGTATTCGCCCGCAACCATCAAATCTTACTTTACGAGCCTAGGACATTTCTACAGCTTCTTTTTGTTTGAGAAGCCAGACGAAATTCCAGTTAGTAGCGAGTTGGTGACCCAGGTGAAGGAAAGAGAGAGACGATGGTCATCTTCTTACAAACGATCAAGCCTACAAAGGAAATGAGAAAGGCAGGAGGAAGGAGGCCAGTATACCCTTTCGCGTGATTTCCTCCTAGTTCAAATATCAATTGATAGTGCCAACCGTGCAGGTGTCTTAGCAAGCATGACAGTAAAAGAGTTCACTGTTGCCAGTGCCAGGGAACATAAAACATTTCACATTCATGGTCATGCTCACGTAGTTCTCACAAGTAATTTACACAATTGGATGAATGTCTTCATTCAAGAGGTAAGAAGCCAGGTGCCAGGCATTGGAGTGGACGAAAACCAGCCCGTATTTCCATCCTTAAATGGAACAAAAATGCAGTCCAGTTAAATCAAAAAAAGCCTTAAAATCAGTATGGGAAAAAGCAGGTATTGACGGGCCTATTCACGGCACTCTTCTCAGGAAAGGTGCCGTAACCGCAGTGCACAGGAATCACGAAAAAGAAGCCAGCAATCTTGCTGACTTGATGGCCCATAAAGAAGATACTGCTCTCCAGTAATACCGTTTATCAGAAAAGGCACAGGCATCGGTTAAAGCATCGCAGACACTCCACATAATGATGAGGACAAAGTGCTCAACAGTCTGTAGTAAAGCGTCTAAGGAACATCCCAGGAAAGCTGGAGAAGCCTTGGAGCAAATTGGTAAAGAACAGGTCGATGAAGACTTCCAAGAAAGTGACAACAGTTCTTCACCTCGGTTACGCTGGCCCATGGCCCAAGTTTAAGAAATTCGCAACCTCTTTAGAGGAGAAATGCAATGAAGTCACTATGGAATGTGTGAGAGAGAGGATCATGGAACGTGAAATCCTCCAGGTCATAGATACGAGAATAATTTATGACAGAGTGCATGCAGAGTTGAGGAATTCTGTCGTTACTCCCGCAACTTTACCAACTAAGAAGGAGCAGCTATGTGATCGAGTAAATCGCTTATTCAGAGAGGACATGCCTTCATCCAGTGACATTGTACCTCCAATATCACCAAGCAGTACCACAAAAGCCTTGTTCAGTACAGAGTAGGTTCAAACATTACTGTGTCTATGTGAGGATATGATTAAAGCAAATGCTCCAATTTCGAAACCCGAAATCACTAAGAGACTCCAATGACATTTATGGAAAGCAAATCTTAGAAAAACGTAGCTAAAATCAAATTGTAAATCGTATTAAATACGAGCGGTGACAAAAGAGGAACAAGTAGGAAAAATACTGTTTGTACCATTTAAAATTATGCTTGTCCAGTGAGCAGCAAAAAGGTCTAAACAGCTTCAGTCGATTTATTGATCTAGTATGTCTTTCATTTAATACCATAAATTGTGTTGACCATGGGGCTTTCTTTGAACGACAGATCTTTACAAGATTGGCTTCTACGTTAAGAAACCATAGCAAGATATGCATAAGTATTTAATGCTAATATCCCAGCAAAAAGGTGGGAAAATTGTATAGACCATGCATGCAGATGTCAGAATCAATTGGTTTAATTTTTGGGTGTGGAGAAACATCGCTCTAACCCGGAAAATTAAAATAATTAACGTATTATCATGTTAATGTAACATGAGCCTCACACGCTGGGATGTTAGATTATTGTGTAAATACTGGTATATCTCTTATGGCTTCTGTTCAAAGAGAAGCCAATTTTGTGAAGTTCTGTAGTAATGAAACATATCCGTGATGAAGTTTGTAGTATCAAACGAACAACTTGTGCTGTTTAAAGTTTTGTGTTGCTCACTGTTTCTTCACTCCTTCAGTTGCATAAAAAGGATGAGAGACGCATTGCTAAAATTGAAATTATCGTAAACTTCAAACGGCAACCGTCTAACCTCAGACTGCGATTCGCGGTTTGTCTTATCGTGCGAAAAACGCGGTGCTAAAGGTCTCAATTGACTCTCAAAGCAACAGGACTGGTCAGCATGCAATTTCATGCATGTACCTAGTTAATCTATGATTAATATTTAGGCTACGAAAATTAATGAAATGCTCACTCCAGGTAGCTTAAATTCCCATATGTTAATAAGCAACTTATTCCAATTGACTGTAAAAGAAATGACTGGAAAGTAGTAGGGAGAATTTTTATGCTGACCTATCTGAAGGTTAAGGCTGGTTATTACTAGCTGGGCAGACAAAAGCAAATAATATGCAAACATACAGTGGTGCTTCCACTTGGCCCTGTGTTCTCGTTCTCTTTCCACACCAGGAATAATTATTATTTGTTATCAGAACGATTGTCTGCCGCAATCCTCAACCCTTAACAAAACAATCATTGTTTTTTTGTGAAAGAACGTTTCCTGTCCATGTAGAACGTTTGAAGTACTACCCTTCTGATCCCCTAACTTGATCAGCTCGGAGGTCGTCCAGTTCCCATTTTCTTAAAAGCAACTTAAGTGGTTACTTTAACAAATTTTTTAAGGGTTTAAGTAGTTAAGGAATCAAATAATATTTATATACTTCCATACTTACAAAAGTGCCCTAAAAGTTACCAAAGTGCCCTGCACAGTTACAAAAGTGCCTTGCACAGTTACAAAAGTGCCTGTCACGTTACAGAAATGCCTTTTTTGTGTTACACTTTTTTTGTTAGGTGCCTGAAAAAAGATACAAAAGTGCCCTTTCCTCTGGCTCTCTCCCTCTACATACATACATATATACATATATATATATATATATTCTCTTTTTAAAGTAATTTAACATTGGGACAGAGAAGAATGCCAGCCTTTAGGTAATTTAACATGGCGGCGGTTCACTAAATCCTTCATTCGCCCTACGATGAAATAATAGTACCGACTAAACCATGAAAACTAATAAATTGAAGTTATTCTTGAGGCGATGTGGAGACATCAGAATCCTGACCCTCTATGAAACTTGGCTAAACGAAGGACTGCCAAACGATGACATTGCGATCCTCGACTTTAATTTGTTTAGACGCGATCGATCCTCTGGTCGTCAAGGTGGTGGCAATGCAATTTATATCTCTGAGAAAAAACCTGCTGTGCGAAGATGCGATCTAGAAGACACGGAACTGGAGAACCTTTGGTTGGAGTAAATGTTTCCGAGTCCAAAGGGATTCTCGCGGGAACCTGTTATCGCCCGCCCGCCGGAAAACTCTCAGTTTTTAGAAATTTTTTAACTGGACTTGGAAAGAGTGTCAGGAAACGATAAAGAAACGTTGGTGACTAGTGATTTTAATTACGATCTTAAAGTACCAACGCAAGGAACAGATTTGAAGGCATCAAAAGGCATTTTTCGTCTTCGGAATTTCTTACGACGGATTGACTGTCTTACAAGGGTAACAAAACTTAGTGCTACACTTACTGACTTGATCGTGACAAACAACCCGTCAAGCAAGCAGTAGTACCCCTCAGTATAAGCGATCATGATCTTGTTTTGTGCGTTAGAAAAATTAACGCGTTGAAATATCCACCCAAAACAATTGAATGCAGAGACTATAGATATTACTCGCCTAAGGATTTTTGTGAAAGCTTGAGCCAAATCAACTGGGACCCTGTCAGGTACGCCTCCAACGTAAACAATATCTTCGATTTCTTTAATGTCAATTTCAAAGTGCAGTGCGATCGGCACGCCCCTTCGATCCAAAAAAAGTCAGGGATGTTAACTACCCATAGTTAGCACAAGAAATTAATACACTGATTCAACAAAGAGATTGTTCTCTAGAGAAGGCGAGACGAAAAAATAAAGAGATGGACTAGGAGTGCCTACAGAAGTTAGAGAAACGCCGTGAACAACAAAGTGTGCCCCGCTAAGGCCAATTACTATCTGAACCTTATCCAGGAAAACAGCACCACCTTACCTAGATAGTTATTTTTGTTTCAGTGCCTTTGTACACATAGTTTCGACTAGACGCTGTAATGACATGCGCACTCCAAAAGTCAGGAACTTGCCAAGAGATCTTTTCATTTTACTGGTGCAATGGAATTTACAGTCTTCCTCGCCATATTAAACCAAAGGAATCCTTCATTGAATTCTCAAGGGTGACTAAACACATTTTTCTTAATTGGATGATAAATTTTATATGTAGTTGTATACTTCTTTTTCTATATTTTCTTAGTGAATCTTTACCTTTTAGACCTTTTGTATTTTTACTTGTGTACTCTTATAATAGGACCTCCCTTGATACTAGTGCTTATTACACTGATGGGGTTATCCTGCATAAATACTAATGATAATAATAATAATAATATTATTATTATTATTATTATTATCATTATCAATATTAATATTATCATTATTACTATGTCAATCATTTATGGTTTATTGTAGAAATTGTACTAAATTTATGTAATGCAAAGGTCCATAGCTTTTAAGAAGTGGGAAGAGGATCACCTGGCTGGAACTGCAGGCTGTGACAGGGTCATGAAATAAGACAGCATTGGACACGATCAAAAGCGGCTCGGGAAAGCTCTGTATGAATTTAAAAAATCCTAAGTGAAATTGAATGATGGAAAACCAATGCATGGAAGAAATGGAAGACTGACAAAGGCTGCAATAGAAAAACTGAAAAGAGTATTATGGCAAGGCAATTTGTAACAATGTAAAAAGAGAAATTACAACCACTGAAGAGAAGGATCAAGAACAGCGCGATGAGGATCTGAGGATCCGTGGCAAGGGTGTGGCATATGCAGCTGGGGCTTTCGGGGATAAAGAACCTTGCAATAAACCCAAAAAGAAGAAAAAGACTATGTAGACCAGGAAATAACTTTGGGTATGTTTGTTTCAAAAACATTCTGCCAAAATACTGTGTTTTTATGTTAAAAGCCAACTAGAACTCATATTTCCATACATTTTCCCCTTTAAATTACATTTCCTGTGAATATGGATTTTTCGTGAAAATCTGGGTACCCCCTGAAATCCTTCAGGATGTATTTGTGCAAACATCACAAAATTTGCCACAAATATTTAAGACATGACATACTACAAACCTATGGACAAAAATTCACTTTGACTGAAAAGTGTCAGAGTTTTGAGGAGTTAATCTTGTCTTGGAATGAATTGGTTGCCATGGTAACATTTATGATTGAAACCCGATTTCGCGTGATAGGTTTGAAGTGCTTTTTAAGTAGATCCATGATGCTTGAAAACAGCTTTATTTGATATATTTTGTGCTTTAAAATTGAGGGGGCAGAATAAAGGTTTAAAAACGATAGTCTTTGTATTTGTTACTTATTAACTACGAATAAACAAATCTGCTCAACTTTACTTGTTGGCTGGTACATAGGTTCGTATACTTGCCTCCTGCCAATTTTCAGCAGTTTACCATGAATGGTTATGATCCCGTGACTGTTTTAGTTATGACCTACTATATTGATGGATTTCAACCTGAGGGCACCCTTAAGTACAGTTTTAACCTTAGCTACAATTACACATTAATTAAAATCATTTTAAAGATATCATCAACATTTCCTTATTCATCTAGTATATTTCGATGTACAGTAAACAAACTCTATGAATTTCTAGTAGAAGCTATTCCTGCTTATTGCCAGCAAAATAATCCTCCATAGATCAGAAACAAACTTCAACTAATCCGAGGGGGAGATTACTTCTGACAATCAGTAAAACCAGAGACATACAGTACAAGTTCAATATTAAGTCTTTAAACATTCTGCCTCTAACATTAAGCCAATGAAAAGCATTGTGAACATGTGAAAACCGTTTTTTAAGCCATCAAATGGACCAGCCTCACCTATTCATAGAAGAAGCCATAGGCTCTAGTCATCTTGGACCTGATGCACATTAAATTAACAAAGTTATTCCTCTAGCCTTTTTGGTCAGTTGGCTTTGCGTGACACATCAACAATCACCCAGCTTTTTCACCATTTATTGCTTGATTCACACCACCATACATTCCATGCATCAAACCAATGATGGCAATTTAGCTAGTTAATATCATTTATTAGTTTAAGCTGGAGTCACACGGGAGTGCACGAATTACCTGCTCATGGCCTCACCCTTTAAAAGATGACAAAGGTCACACACTGTAATCTAACAGACAAGGCCAAAACCAAGAAAATTTCACAAGAAGTCGTTTACATTAGCTCTTCATATACACAACTGGGAACAAGCCAAAGCTATTTGTAGAGTTAACATTACTACAATATGTGGAGGAAAACAAGACCATTCAATAGCAGGAAAAAAGGACAAGACAAAAGAGCACAGGTGTTCAGATAAAGAATTAAGTAATATTTCGTCTCATCTTTCTTTCTTCTTTCTTTCCTTTTTTGGGAAAATTTTGAAGAATTTTTCTGGAATGGATTGCCAACTGAGGGCACAAATAAAGCATATGCATTGTTTTGAAGAAAATGGAACCTATTTTCCCCACAACTATCCATGAGTGATCCCAGCCAAAAATTAATATCAAGCAAGATACTCCCCAACGAATGAGAATGCTCTCAAAGACCAAGTGGAGTCATTGTGCTCACTCTTATGACATTTTTATGGCCACATTAAAATTGCAACCAGCATGGAAACAGCTTTTACCCTAGCTGGGCAGTCAATCAGAAGAACAAGCTTCCTGGTAGTATTGTTGACATACATGTTGGTACATGGAAAGGATGATTTACATTTAAGACCATACCACATATTACATGTACATAACTACCTCATTGAAATAAGACAGTGATTTTAGTACCTTCAGTTTATTGATTTAGGGCAGGAAAAAACCAAAGGCTAATTGCCATGCCAAATAAATTTTGGTTTATAGGCAAGCGCAGTTGGAAGTTTGGGAGCCCAGTACACAAGTGAAAGTACAGCAGTCTCAGCAGTCATGTTAGTGATAATTCCAATAAAAAACAATTAAAACAATTAAGACTGCAAGATAAAGTAACAAAAAAAGGTTGAAAGCATTGATTAGTTTAAAATCAAAGCAGACTTTGCTTGAGTTTTGTTCTCTGATCTCCACACTGGCCACCAAATTGGATGATGTGTAAAAAAATATGTCTGGCACTATAGTAAAAAAGCACAAGGTAGATTTAAGATGGCAAAAAAAAGACAAACATTCTGTATTAAATTTAGTCTGACTCAGTAAAAAGCCAAGGAAGTGAGGTGAATCAAGCAAATGGAGGACTGAAGAGCCAAGTTCAATACTGGCATAAGAGTTGGGAAAGAGACAGTTTAAACCTCCATGGAAAGTGCTGTTTACTGTATTTATTAGTGCTAAGATGCGAAGATACGCACGTAGTTGTCCCAGTCTCAGTGGCAAGATCTCAAGGGTTTAAGCAATGTACACAGAACAGAAAAACCTGTATGTAACTATGCAAGTTTGTTGTCTTCCAAACCTGAAGGCTTCAGCTCCATCCTGCTTTTGGTTGAGATTATGCTGGCTTTGTTTCCTTGCACTGCAACATGTAAAATAAATGCTGTTTCTCTATGATGAAAATATTGAAACAAGCCTTAAAACTAACATGGAGCAAACCACTTTAACAAGCTTGCTAAATGACAAGAAGAGGTCATCAGTAATGCACATCATAGAGCAATGTGACAGCTTTGTCATTAGTCATACTAAATACTATAGACTGCAAACCCTTGAACAATATAAATAACATTGAAACCATCTAAAACTGGCCTATGGTTCAAACTGTGACAAAATCTCACAAATGCAAAAATTTCTCACAGAGGTAATCTTTCAATCACAATTTCTTTCATCACAGAAAACAACAAGCACACATTTTTCATGCCCTAGTATTTTAGGTTACCTGGTATTTTTACATTTCATACCTGATTTCCAAGTAACCATCCACCACCTCATATGTATCTTGTTAAACAGCTAGTCAAATGGCAAAATGAACAGTCACTAACTTGGCAGGACACTTGTGGTCTTGAGGACTCTGCCATCAAATCTAAGTCTATGCCTCTTTCTGCAAGGATTGTTAGATAATCAAATATGTGCTTGTGTCACCACAGGCAGCCCAGGTTCCAGCTGTGAGATGATCAACTTGTAAAATAAGAGTCATGATGAAAATATAAAAGTTTGTATGGGAATATTTATGACCGCTCTTAGGAATAACATTTGAAAATACAGTCAAATTCTCAACTTTCACATTGCATTGCTTGTTTTTGAATGCTTACTTTGTAGCAATGAGGCCATTTTAGCGAGTTATCCAATTCTAGGAAACTAAAAAATGAATAACACACTAAAATGGCTTCTTTTCAACATTTAAATAAGTGGTCAGACAACAAGCAATGTACAATGGAAGTACAGTGAGGTATTTTTATTGAGAATACATGTATGTTGCATTTTTACTTCCTAGGAGCTGTTGTAAATATTCCCATGCAAACTCAAATTTCACCATGACTCTTATATTGCAAGATAATCACCTCACAGCTGGAGCTTGGGCTGCCTGTGGTGCCACTTAAAAAGATTGACAGCATACATAATCATCCCACTTTGCCCTGTAACTTTTAGTATTGATCTACATGTAACTTCTCCCAATATCTCCATACCTTATCCAGCTAGATATTTTCTTGATCAAACACCAAATTCTAGCAGCTAGCGAAAGAATTAACAATCAAATCTTGGGAGTTAACGATCTTTACTATTTTTAGCCCTGAAAACAGCATACGAAGTATTACAAAACAAGAAGCAAGCTAAAATAAGCTGCAAAGAGCTTCTAATAGCTTCAAGCCTTCGAGGCCTGATCCTTTCCAAAATGAGAAACGCTACACGTATCTCTCTCTATCCCTCGCCGTTCCTCGTCTTTAACAGACCTTCGCGCGAACTTTCATTGCTTTGAGATCGGTTTAAGATTGATAACAATTTGCCGTACAGAGAAGGTATGATTCAGAGATGAAGAACGAGCTCACAACTTACAAATTTGACTATAGCACAACTACTATGAGAGGTCAACCTTTGCAGACAAGTAATAATTCCGCAAGAGTAACATGCTGTTTATAAATAGTAAACAGACTTACCATTTATCCGTAGAAGGCAATTGTGACTGAAACATGACAAAGTCAAAGAACAACGAAGAAAGCCGTATTAGTGGAAAAGCACGAGAACGTGACTTTCGCTAAAGTGAATGTCAACAAGAACCAGAATGCAATGCGTTATTCGGTTACCGCACTAGAGGGTACCAGTCAAAAAAAATAACTTAAAAGTTTGTTTCTTGGTTTTTCTGCAGGGTAAGTGACTTAAACTTATAGATTTTCTTTGATATTTGACACCAGAGCAATGCATCAGGACTAACCTTCCTAGGTAAGTGTAGTACTGTAAAACTATCAGGCTATCTTGACGAACGCTATAGCGGTACAGTAAACCGTTAAGTTCAAAATGCAGCCATGATAATCAAGGAGAAGTCCTCCTTCATTGAACCAATGACGCCAAGAGGCTGCATTCGACAACAAACAACTCTTCTCATATTATAAAGCCAGAACAATTCGGCCTCCACGAAAAGTTACGCAGAGCTAGCGGATCTCCTGCTTTCAAAGTTAGCTGTGCTTCCGCTTTCATTTTCATTCCATTGCCTCTCTGTGTTATCTAATGCTTTGACTATAATCGTTGAAATGCATAAAAGTCTATTGCTGGAACGAGTGCGTTCTGCTTATCATTTGGTAACTATTTAACAATTTGTAGATGGAAATAAGAGAGATGGTAAGTTTTGAGCTCGGTAAAGAAATAAAGAAAGATGTGTTTCGTCGTGTAACGAGCGTGCAGGGACTATGAAAAAATTCTGAGTCTCCATGAGGAATCAAACCTCAGACCTTCGGATTCCGCGCTCCGATGCTCTACCAGTGAGCCACAGAGACTCCACAGTGAGTGAGGTCTATTACGAAGTTCATCATTTAACAATTACACATGGAAATTTTTTGATAATCATGGTATGAGGAGTTACGACATTTGTAAACACTCATGATGGATTTGACTCATGATGGATTACTGGAGCATTAACGAGAACTTTGAAGAAAGACAAATATTGACATACTGTTAAACGATTCTGCAATTTACGACTCGAAAAAAAGCAAAAGATTAATTCATGAAAGCGTCACGCGTTATATGACGCGGGGTTGAGTTACGCGAGAAACCGTTGGGAATTTGAACGCGTTGTAAGGAATAGTATGGGGAAAGAAACATGGTCGATTTACATCGCTAAATATTCCGATATATGAAAATTTTATCCGTCAGATTATTTGAACTTACTCACACCTTGAGTGCCCTTTGTAGTTTTTGGCGTTCTCTGCCGTTTATAGCTTGCTTTGGGCTTGCTTTGCCATCACTGTTGTTCGGCCTGTTAGAAGACAGAGTATTATAAGGCTTACATACGACATATATAAGACTTATAAATCTTATAAGTCTTATGAGTCTTTCATGAATTAGTCTTTTTCCTTTTTCTCGAGAAGTGTGCTTGAGACGCCTGTGGTACAACCTGAAAGTTTTTACTTCTGCCAAAATCACGATATTTGGTTTCAGGTTGGTTTGCTAGAAAAGCAGTTGACATTCGTTAAACTTTCTTCCTGTTAATTTTAAAATCGATGGACTTTGTGTTTTCCAAAGTTAAAACAATTTGGTGCATTCAGCCAAAACACTGAATTGTCTAATAATGAATCGAATTCTCCTCAAGTACGGGTCATTATTTTTCGCCGGGGGTGTAGGAGGATTTTGAGTTTCTCAATAAAATTTAATTGATCTTCCCACAAGGCTCTGTGACATTCTTAAAGTCCCCCCTCATTGGCAGATAATTGGCACGATTGATTAGCATGACTCTAACATCGTAAGACCAACGATTAAAAGTTCATTTATCGAAAGAAAATTTCGTTTTTTATCCCGATTGCTTTTCTTGATGGTTAGAGTGGCTAACAGTCTCTTTTCAGTGTTGTATGAAGGGATTTGGGATAGACTTAGTTTTCAAGCATTTAAAAAATTCAGGACAGTCTTGGGATAACCCTCGTGGTACAAAAAATGGAAATTTTATGTGAAACCTGATGAAATAGCCTTAGTAATTCATGTCTTTTCCAGGAGTCCTCCCGAAGGGAACATGGCCGTGAGCTGGTTGAGGTGCTTTATGCGCGCAACCATCCTGTATGGTTCGCTCACATACCAAGAGGCAAATGGCATCAAAACTCAATCACGAGATTGTCTTCACGTGGATCCAGCTGGTAACAAATACAACTTGACTTCGTTGCGAAATACAGATGAAACAGCGAGGTGAGTTAAATTTCAGAGAAGTATTTTACCATGATATCTGGGAATTGGACTAGCCTAATACTAATACTCAGTGTGAGCAAAATGTATGATAAAAACATCGATGACGCACTCAGCTGCGCCTCGTGTGCCGGTTATTTGCTCTTACAACATTTTAAAGTTGTCTACAAACTAATACTGATAACACGCGCGGCAACATGGAATCTATTTGATAAATATACATATCCCAGAGTTGTCTTGGATGAGGTTGGCCACCGATGAGGCGAGTTTACTTGTATCAAGGAAAAGAGCAATATTATACTGCAATATGACCAATTGCAGATAAAAAACTTGAAAAAAGGTTTGACAGATTTTCAGGTTCGTTTTCGCCGTTGCTTAAATCGTAGCACACGAGGATCGTATTTCTTTTGGAAATTCGCGGGCATTTTTTCATCGCGATTTTTGTCTGCCTGATAATTGTTCAACTACTAAGGTGGCAAGCCTTCTCTTTGAGAAACTCTTAGCAGCAACAGCAGCACAAAAACGTTATCATTTAGTTGTAGCGCCGAACCGATTAGGATCAGAAGCCCTGTGATCACAACCTTTCATGGCTCCTTGTTTTAACGGTATCAAGTTTGCAATCCGAAATTTGGCGTAACTGAATTTCCGATGGAATTCCTTACCATTGCTATTAAGATGGACGCACTGTTGCAGATGATCAGATTATTAAATCGCCGAAACTACCACTAACAACTCTTTAATTATGGAAAAATGCATCTACAAATACAGCTCTAGGGCGCTGGCTAAATCTGACCGAAACTTCATTTGTTAGCCCCCCTCTGTTAGAGGGCATTTCTCATGTTCTCTTTTTGACTTGAATTTATAAAACTCAGGTAGAACTAACTTTGAAACTGCATATGAAATACGGATGTAGCCGATGTGTGCAGACCGGAGACAGCACGAACATTAAAGACTATTTTGTTGCTTCCGAAATAGATTCACGATAACCTATAGGGGATACAAATACAGCTTTAACCCCTGTGAATCATTCAAGATAGGGAAGCCATTTAGAGGAAATGAATGTCATTCGGATGTAGCGGTAAGTCTATTGTGCTGTGATCACACATATGGTTTCTATAATGGCATCACGTAAATTCTCGATCGTCGTTGGACAAACCGGGGTCATTCCCTTATGCTAGAAGTATAATCCCAGCCATGCTACACCCTCTTGCAAACGCCCATAATGTTAGTCTTTGGTACCTGTGACGCAAAAACTACTTCGGTGGCCGTGTTAAACTTTGTAGGAATTCAACTGAAAATCAATATTAGCAGGCACAGGAAAAGTTCAAAAAAGTTTTGGGGTCACCCATGCAATTAAAATGTTGATTGAGAGAGACATTCTATATAAGTTTACAGCTTTAACTCACGCTAGGCTGTTTAATAGTCGAGTTCTCTTTTTAGATTTGCAGGTGGGTGGAAGAGCAAATGTATCACAATATAGGACATCAGAGCACAGAAAAATGTCTCTTAGATAAGGACACTAAAACACCGATGCTGGAATATACTGGGTATGTTGACGAAGAACCGCATTCTATAGGTATTAACTGTAAAAAATTATATCTTTATGAATGCAACTCCATGGTTCACGAAAACTAGTGTAGGTCACTCGAATGCAACTTTAAATTCAATTCGGAATTGCTTTAGTTTGCTTCTTTTTTTCTATGTGATTGGTCCAGAGAACTCGCGCCCCTATAGCCAATCAACTTCAAACTATGTGCGATCGCGACTTGTTCACTTGCGTTTTGCCGCGCTCCGGGAAGTTTAGATGTGTTTACTTTGAGTTTCCCATGATTCCTTGTGATACAATCCTTGTTCTGATTGGCTTTTACCACACTCAGTCAAAATGTATTCTATACTCTTTGTATGGTATTTTTAGTTCGCTAGGTTTTTATGCTTTGTGAACCATTTAAAATCTTAGAAATTGTCATATTCTTAAGACCGCTTATCTTTGTGCTTTAGGGATATCTACACTAAGACCTCACATGTACTACTAAAATGCGATAAAACCGAGGAACGTCCAAGCTTTAAAGCTTTGTCTGTTGGCAATCCACAGCTATTTGTAAGTGATGTAACAAGCAGTTGGTTTCGACCTATGATATACTCACGAAAAGTGTCTTCTTCATCTGAGCTGAAATATTTTTCTAGATTATAACCTTTAACCTTTGTGATGGTCAACTAACTGAAGACACGATCCTCGAAGGCGACCTGAAGTTAAAGAAATTACAGGAAAGAAGCATGACTGATATCATCCTAGATACTAGTTGGGAACTGTAACCAACTGAGCTGCGAAGCCAATTTTAAGAGCAAGGCAAAATTAAGAGGGCTCTTTTCTCCCGTAAAGAAATCTGGTCACAGTTTGACTCTTTTTGTATAATTTCTTTAATTTCAGCCCAATTGTGAGGATAATTTCTATTCTTGAACATTATTTGGAGGTGAAACATTTAATTGCATTGGGATTTGTAGTGGTCAAAAATAGAACAATGCGTGACTTTGGTATGGCCCTTGAGGATTTTCATATCCTGATAACTTGAACACCGTGTAACGGGTAAAGACTGGTATAGTTGGAAGAGAGACTTTTTAACACAGATTATGTCTTTGCAACGACTAGTCATACTTAATACTCTTTGTTAGCAGCTCCCACTCTCTCTCTGTCTGCTAGAAAACTATTAAGTTTGCCTTTGCCGTTTTAGGTGTTCTCACTAACACACAAATGTGCCTGTCCCAATCTGTGTCTTTATAAACACGTCACACCTTCTAAGCAGCCAGGTCCAAGTAATCCAAGTAAGTTCAAAGTTTAAATCGTTATTAGACTTACATGACCAGATTGGTTAACATTGTAATTTTTAGCTTCCTCAGCATGCCATGTGATGCAAATGCATTCACTCACTTAATTATCTGAGTCCAAATGTATGTAATGGCAGGCGTGACACATGCCATCTCACCGATTTCTTTCAAACTTTCACAGTTTATGAGTCAATAAGTTATTCAAGAATCCAGAGAGGTTCGGAATCGCTGTGCTACGGAGTCGCGGTGCAATTTACCTCAGGGATTTGATGTGGGGGCTCTAATACCCCAGGGATTAGCCGCGAGCCCGAACTTCTCTGGATTCTTGAATAACTTATTGACCCTCATAAACTGTGAATTTTGAAAGAAATCGGTGAGATGGTATCTGTCACGCCTGTCCGGTTCTCTCGTGGACAGACCCTTCACAAACAGCGTATGACATTGATCATTAAGGAAGATGTTTACTCAGTTTACGTAGATGTATTGAGCTTGGTGGTGTATTTTCTGAAGTATACCAAGCGTTGACGTTGCTAGCGTTAGGTGCTCATAATATCTACTTCTTCAATACTACTGAAAACGAGCCCACGAAGCGCCAGGAAACCAATCTTTTTAACGTTCAGAACTTGAAATGGATAAGGGTTTTCAGTCCAACTAACGTTATATCCTGCCGAGAGAGTGATTTCAATCTAATTTTTTCTGAAAACTTTTCCCTTTTACCTGCGCAGATGATAACAACATGGTCAGCGTCGTTGCAGGTAGTCTTGGTAGCCTTGTTTTCGTTGCGTGTATCGTCATGGTAATCCTTCTGATTGTAAGGAGGATGAATAGACCGAATCCTCAGAATAGAGGGGAAGATCAACCCATTTTGCCTGAACCAGCCACCATAAATCGATTTTCCAGCATCAATGAAGACAGCGAACGTTTGGGGAGCGAACGTTTGGGGAGGAACTCACCTTCCGGAACGTTCTTAGATTACTCACAGTTTGAGAATGAAATTACAGAGTCACAGGAGGATCCTCCTGACGGTAAAAACAAATCTTGTGCAGAGAATCGGTGCTGAGGGTATCCACTGGTGTATTATCAAAACTTTTCGCAGCCTTGAAGCATGGTCCAGATATTATAATATTAGGATCAAAAAGTATCTTTATACGGATTGTTTCGAAAAGAAGGATTTATGGCTGCATGTTCAATTCTTAAATTTTAGTGTAGATTTCCAACATACGATGATTTTACTGATTGCTCAGCTTTTCTGTTGACATGACATTTGCCACAACCAGTGTAGTGTGACATTGGTCCGATGCACGCGTAATTGACGACAAATAACTGTATGGTTAAATTTGTAAAAAACGATTTTCAACGTAAAATAGTCCTCTTTTCCCACGCTGGTGTGTACAAATAATCTATCAACGATCAATGAAGAACTAAGATTAAGGAACAGTGTAATTTCTTAAAGGGATCATCTCTTTTCCTTTAGTTAGCAGGTACATGTTGTACCAACTCGAGAATTTTGTGACCTCGATCTACATATCAGCCCGTAAAAGAAGTTGTTCTTTGTATCTTACTAGTGGACTGAATAAAGCTGAAAATAAGGTTTACCGATGGTGTTTAAATAATTTATGTAGCCCATCATCTATCAAATACTATCCCTAGCCTGCGATTGCTCGAAACGTGACAAACGACGCACAGTGTACACTGTATATGCCCTAATAGAAATTGGAAAAACTTAGTAATATACCCCAATTCCAGTCTTTATCTCATATTCATTTCAAAGTGGGACAGCGTTTTGCTGTTGTTGCAGGAAAAAACTGATAGTGATAAAGTCATAGTAGAGTACATCGAAAGTCAAAAGACTGCTCAGCCAACATTTTGAACAAGTCAAGTTTCTCCTCCACTGCAAGAGATACGGTATCTAAAGGACATAAGCATTGTAGGCTCCTTATGGCACTTTTTTAATCTGCTCGCTATTTACCACTTTTTAACTTTTGGGTGTAGTTAGAAACCAGCTTTACAATTGTAAGACCCATATGCCTCCAAAATCCTCCTCGAAGCGATCGAATTAGGCTGATAATTATCTGTTTACTGTTGACCACTTTGCAACTTCTCGGTCTATTTGAAATTAAACTCCACCGTTGTAAAAGAAACAAGCTTTCAAACCCCCTCCCCCTCAGGGCAATTTATCGGGCATATGATGACTTGTTCCTGGAATTTATCTGTTCCTCGATCTCATAATTTATTGAGTTTTATTCTATGAATATATGTTTGCTTCTCGGAGCAGCTTCCACAATGTGGGGGGCCAAATATACAAGCATATTTACGTGTTAAATTGAGTCTATGGTTTATTCATAACCGATAACAAAGTTTTCAAATAAATAAACAGAGGCTTATTAAACGTTAGGGACAATTTCAAAGTAACACAGACACCAAAGAGGGCCCTCATGCTCTTTCTTTTTTTTCCGATGTTTTACGATATAATGCGCACCGATATTTTGCGAGTTGCACTTAAAAATTTGTTTATTTAAAAGTCAAGCCTAAGAAACGAAAAAAGAAAATAGTTTGGATCGATCGTTCAGTGCGGCCATTTTGTTGCTCCGCATTTTGACCTCCCTCTACAGAGTAGAAGGGTTAAGTTAAACGAAGATAAAGACAGTGTGGCTGTGAAGAAAAGGCCATCATAACTGATACAACGATTTCCAGTGTAAAAGTATTGAAATGATCTTTCAAAACAGGATGACAAGAATTAATCGCAAACTTAGTAAGAAATGAAGGCTTGCGTGACCCAGTATGTCACTCCAACGGAAGAGTACCTGATATGGAACGATCCTTGTAATGGCTGGTTCCCGAGAGATCGGACCCGAAGACTGAGACGAGTAGGCAACTAGTGAACTTTGAAACTAATTATTTACTTGTAGATCTGGGAATGAAAGCTTCATGTACGTCTCAATTAACTTCCCGAGAGATCGGACCCGAAGACTGAGACGAGTAAGCAACCAGTGAACTTTGAAACTAATTATTTACTAATAGATCTGGGAATGAAAGCTTCATATACGTCTCAATCAACTTCGTTATTAGGGAGTTTAAGATACGGTCACTACGGACTACGGACTACGTCTGGGCGTGAGAATCCAAGCCACGCGTGGACTGGGCCGACTACGCTAAAAGGGCGCGAAAATTGGAGTGTTGTTTGACGTTAAGATCGTGACAACGACTACGGACTACGGCTGCACTTGGAAAAAAAAATGTCCTTCGAAGATGCTAGAAACGCCCTTTTAATCGCTTATGCGGCTGGTTTTCTGGATGATGAAGAGTTTATTGTTCTTTACGATTATTACCTACCCGTTAATCCTTCATTTCCGTACTGGAATTTTGATCCATTCTGTTTGGATGTGTTCGACTCTTGCGAGTGCGAAGCTCACTTCAGGGTGGCCAAGGATGATATTCCGATGTTATTGAACGCATTGCGGATTCCGGCGAGTTTCAAGTGCCCACAGGGAACAGTTTGCATTGGCTTAGAAGGACTTTGTTTACTGCTAAAACGACTAGCATACCCATGCCGCTATTTCGATTTAATTTCAACTTTTGGACGTCCGGTGCCAGAGCTGTGCATGATCGCTAACACTGTACTTGATTGGGTTTTTAATGAACATGGGTTTCGTTTAACCTCTTGGAATCAGCCATTTCTTACCCCTGCTTGCCTTTAAGAATACGCCTGTGCTATAGCAAGACAAGGAAGTCCACTTACCAATTGTTTTGGTTTCATTGACGGCACGGTTCGCCCCATATGTCGCCCTGGAGAAAAACAGCGCGTTGTATACAACGGGCACAAGCGTGTTCATGCGCTAAAATTTCAATCCGTAGTAGTGCCAAATGGTTTGATAGCAAATCTTTATGGTCCGGTGGAGGGTGCACGCCACGATGCAGGGATGCTTAAAGACTCTGGCCTGCTGCAAACGCTGGAAAGAGAAGCTTACAATCCAAGGGGGGACGTCCTATGTCTCTATGGAGACCCAGCTTACCCTCTTCGTCCTCATTTAATGGCCCTTTACCGAATAGGGGAGGTTCCAGTATTTACAGCCGATATGGAAGCATTTAATTCAGCAATGAGTTCTGCTAGAGCTTCGGTGGAATGGCTATTTGGCGATATCTCCAACTCGTTCAAGTTCTTAGATTTCAAGAAAAACTTAAAGTTAGGATTAAGCGCAGTTGGAAAGCAGTATATAGTGTCCGCACTGTTTAGAAATATTCTCACCTGCCTTTATGGTAACACAACATCAACACATTTTCAACTTGATCCACCAACTGTTCAAGACTATTTGGCCTAATGGCATCACAGTATATCAAGTAGAGATGTCTGAGCCCGATGCCAAGTTACAAAATATATTAGGTTGTTCTAGCAGCTAATCCAGGATTTCAGGTTTTATTTTTTCATTGAAGATTACTGCTAGTGTCTGGTGAGTCTTCTGTCCGTGAAAATGAAATTTAAAAAGAGAAAGCAGCAAGGCTTAAAAAAAGAATAAAACAAATGTTCACTTAAATCCAGGACAAAGCGGCCTTTTCGTATAACCCATTAAGTTCTTATGAAGTACTAATCAGATTTTAAAACATTGGTCAGAGTTGTCTTTGTTTGCCGGGTGTTGGGTCAAGGAGAGGGTCTGAACCAGGAAGGAAGGGCACAGAAAACTCTGATTGACAATAAGTTTATGTTTTTGTAATGGAATGAATTTGTTAAACCTTAAACTTAAGTATGCAGTTGCCATGGTAATCATCTACGGTATGTGCAACAACTTTACTATGAACTAATACAGTGACTAGTCACTGTTAACTTAATTCCTGTATGAAAAAGATAATGGATCCAAACCGTCAAAGAAATAAAAATTTCATGACCATTTTGGTAAAAAATATTAAATTTCTGTATTATGGAAAACATGAACAATAAACAAATTATCCTTTTTCTTGTTTCTACTCACAATAATTCACCAAACAAAGTTCACCATGCATGCTTATGTATTTTTGGGGAATTTTCTGATAACTAATAGAAAAATGCAACAGTTTGTTAAAGGTTCTGTGAAACAAACAACAACGTATTAGAGTCTCCAAAAAATGCAAAATGCCCCTTTAAGTTGAATGTATGGGATGGCAAAACAGCCAAGCTCTCAAACAACAAAACTCTTAAATGTTATCACTTTGTAAGTTTCTGTACTAGAGCAAGAACAAGGTTTTGTGTGTTCATTTGACTTTGCATCATTTGCTTCATCTGCTCTTGTTGCACTTTGAATTGTTCTGTTTGCTGCTCAGCCTGAAGTTGCAGCTGCTGTCTTTGAAGTTCCAGCTCTTCTTTTCTGAGGTCTGTTTCCTTAGCTGTTTTCTCTACTAAATACTGGAAAGGATCAGAACTAGCTCTTCTTTTTCTTCCTCTTCTCTTTACAGTCTTCTTCTCTGTGGTACTTTCTTCCCCAGAATCAGAGGCTTCACCACTTGCTCCAGCCTTTGCCCACCTGGTCATGGCTTTATCTCTACATGCAAGTGCATCCTTCCTCTTCTGGTCATCTTTTTTGCTGTTTGCATTTCCTACACGAAGTGTTGTTGACTCCATGGCCGCAACTATTTCCTCAAGCAATGTTTCGTTTTCTGTTGGTGGATCAGGGTTGATCTCACTTGCTTTTTCTTCTTTGTTTTTCTTGTTCTTGTAGTCTTTTAAAAGCTTGTTAAATTGTTCCCTCACACTTCGCTGATCCCGAGGCATGTCTCTAAAAAGACTGAAGCAGTTTAGTTTTTCGGCTACTTTTGTCCATTTTTGGCCAGCTTCCTTGCTGCCCACTTTGTACAGAAATGGCTCCGAGGAGTATAATTCCCGAAGGAGCAGAGTATTTTTTGCTTCATTCCAACGAAACGGCCCACTGAAAAGGAACACATTTTATAAAATTAATACGTAGCATCAAAGTATTTTCTTAGTACAAAATTGCATCCTGCCAATCACGTTTTATCACCTGTTGATCAATAACACCATAAAAAGCTGTCCTTAGGCTGCTGTCTGTTATTTGGGAAACAAGGTTAAATTTTTCAAAAAAACATTAATTTTAAATTCAAAGTAAACATAAGACTCCCAATTTGGTCATTGTATCAGATTTTGATTCACCATAGTTCTCCATTAACTTCCCTTCCCAAGCTTTAACTCTCCTTCTGCATATCAATTTTAGGACACAAAACCAGTATATAAATTAATGTATGAGCATTTGAAAAACGATTTATACAAATGCCATTTTCAGACATGTGAGCTTACTTTGTTCGAACAGAGACGGCTGACTCGCCACTGGAGCACACACTAAAGAGACAAACAAATACCCAGTCAGTGTCATGATTGACAATGAAGTTTCCGTTTATATAAAACAGGGTTCGTACTCTTTTGAGCCCTTCAAATTCCATGACTTTCCATTACTTTTTCCATGACCTTTTCCAGTCTTCCATGACTTTGGTTATAGCTGTCGCTTAAGAAAATTTTCAAAACTATCCTTGTTTTTATTTAGGGTATTTACCTTACTCAGTGCAACAGATAACACTTTAGTGTCCACCATATGTGCCATTTCTAAAAGCCGTTTAATGACGTCTTTTTGTCCTTATTTTGGACTGTGCACGAACTAGTCTAGCAAACATAACTTCAATTTTCCATGACTTTCAATGACCGACAATTAAATTCCATGACTTTCAAGGCCTGGAAAATGAATTCTTAAATTTCATGACTTTCCAGGTTTTCCATGACCTGTACGAACCCTGTAAAAGCTTTTACAATCTATTTTGATTTGGAAAAAGTACATACTTCCAACAAAGTTCGCAGTTCACCTTTGAAAAGTAGAAAAAGAAAGTGAATTACCTGCTTTCATCTCCTGTTGATATCCTAATCTGCTTGTAAACACAACAGAATTCAAAGGGCGTCAGTAATCAGAACCAGAAACAGAAAAAAAATGCGATTTTTACTTCTTTTTCGCTCAAGTTTAATTGCCTAAAGACTGTTCAACATAAAAGTAGCGTTTAGAAAACAAAACTGGTCAAAAATCGGCAAAAAAATACTTACGTAGTCCTCACTACGCGAATCTCCTCGACTACTCCCCGTAGCCTGCAACCACACGACGGACTACGAAACCCACGTGCTATCGAGCATGCGCAGTAAATCTCGAACCAGGTCCTCGCCGTGTATTACCGTAGTCCGTAGTCTGTAGTGACCGTATCTTAAACTCCCTATTCGTCAGCACCGAGTACAAGTCCTCGGCCACTAAAGGTACGCAATATTGCTGCAAATTTCTCGCACAAATATTGAACTTAGCGAATTGAACAAACGTAGTAAGTTTAAGACGTAGTCTGTCAAAGAGCCGCGCGAATAAGCGTACATTATCAATTTTTACACTAGTAGTTTTCCTTACAATTTCCAAACATGAATGAAAGTGATCTTCGCAGTGATGTGCACTACTTAGGCAAATACTTAATAAGTATTTGTATTTGTATTTAAGTATAAGCACTTCAACCGTTCGAAATTTTCCTTTAGCCGTTCAACCGTTCGACTTCAACCGTTCGAAATTTTCCTTTAGCCGTTCAGCCGTTCGACTTCAACCGTTCGAAATTTTCCTTTAGCCGTTCAGCCGTTCGACTTCAACCGTTCGAAATTTTCCTTTAGCCGTTCAGCCGTTCGACTTCAACCGTTCGAAATTTTTCTGAAGCCGTTCAGCCGTTCACATAAAAGTAGCGTTTAGAAAACAAAACTGGTCAAAAATCGGCAAAAAAATACTTACGTAGTCCTCACTACGCGAATCTCCTCGACTACTCCCCGTAGCCTGCAACCACATGAGGTCTTGGTATGTCTTAACTTATAATAACAAACTTTAAATTACGTGTGAGCAAGTAACTTATCAATTTCAGCCGTTCGACTTCAACCGAGCAAGTAATCATTGAATTTGCTTTCACAATTGTGACCTCTCACGCGAAAACGTTCCTTACGGTATCCGTTCGAACGGTCGAACGCACGGTATGTGAACGGATGACAAACGGATAGAGAAACCGTTTAAAACGGATGCCGTGAACGGCTGAACGGCTTCAGAAAAATTTCGAACGGTTGAAGTCGAACGGCTGAACGGCTAAAGGAAAATTTCGAACGGTTGAAGTCGAACGGCTGAACGGCTAAAGGAAAATTTCGAACGGTTGAAGTCGAACAGCTGAACGGCTAAAGGAAAATTTCGAACGGTTGAAGTCGAGCGGCTGAACGGCTTCAGAAAAGTTTCGAACGGTTGAAGTCGAACGGCTGAACGGCTGAAGGAAAATTTCGACCGGCTGAACGGCTGAAGTTTTCAACGGATAATTTGAAGTTGAAGTTGAATCAGCCATTATGAATTATTCATAATGGCTGATTCAACTCTACAGACTACATTGTTTCGTTAAAATAAACGGCTCATTCTCTCATTCAGAGTGATTGGAGCGGCTCGATTTATATACTTCCTCAGCTGAATTAGTCTTTCTTTGGAGGAACAGTCGTAAAGGAATCGTTACAGCGCGAGGGCACGCTAGTGAAATATTTATGTACCCGACCCGTGACAATTGGATTTGTTAAATGTTGATATGTTTCACTGATTTCAAAGCCCTATTGGCCTTGATACTATAATTATATACCACCGAGGGCTACAAATTAGATGTACATTTACATCCCATGTTCATCTCATATATTCAAGTTAGAAATGAGATAAAGATGTTCCCGGAATATCCATATATTGTGTATTAACTGGTGTACTGTGACCTGTTCGCTCGTAATCATTCAGTATTGATTTTATGACTTGAAACAAAGGATATTGAATTCTAAAGACTTTTGAGTCGATCGGCTAAATCATCGAGACTGAATTCCTAGTTTGCATGATTTATGATCAACTGCTGTATGAGGTGTGAATACGAAGTTCGAAGTAATGGGCTTTCCGAGAATCTATGTTTTCGTTGAGCATCTAATAGTACACTAAAGTAAAATTGTTGGTCATAATTTTAGAGTCTTATTAACTTTCACTGGAGATGGAGTCTTGGAATAAATTTTTACGCGAGATTTGTTACAGATCGGCCAATTTTAGGTCCATGTACTTATTTATTAGCAGATTTCAAAAGGGATCTTAGGTGAACACTTTTTTCCCGGAAATGAACATCCTGGAGAATTCGTAGTTACTATCAGAATACGGATCATGAGCTAATCGACGGAAGTTCCAGTTATAGAAAGTAGGAACGTAGATTCCGTGGCAAAATCTTCTGTACATGTTAAAGTATACAAATCTGTCTCTCACTGGCTAATGAGAGATCAAAGTTTCTCCATCTCTGACGTGCATCAAGTGACACACATTTTATCGAGAGGTATGTATAAAAATCTCTCTACTTAAATGTCATGTCAGTCTACCTTCCCCTTTCTTTCGCTAATGCCCTTGATAATAATTTCAAGATAAATTCAGTCTTCATTGAAATGAGTCCTAATAATCCTTTTGTGACTGCAACAGGTGTTGCACTTCTTTCATTAATCCTTATCGATGATTCTTCAGTGTGTCTAGCTGCACCATGGAATTAGGGTTGTTATAATATCCTTTTCAGTCGATGCTACGAATCTTAGGGAAGTGCCATTTTTGTTTCTTTTAAAGCCTTCTGACCTCTTTCAGTGAGAAACAAATCATTACAGTCAGTGTAGGACCTTTCGAAATCACCCAGTCCCCCTCGTTAAGCCTAAGCGCTTTTTGGAAAAATATTGAAAAACATCAATAAATAGAAAAAAAAAAAAGGGAAAGTTTTATTTTGTTAGGCTCCCTTCACTTTCCTATCCAGTTGTTTGGCATCAAATAAGAATTAGCAAGAAATGTAAAAGTTTCTAAATGAATTATATTCTCCTTTTCTATAAATATTACGTACAAGTTACACAGGCCAGAAAGCTGTATAAAGTGCATTCTCCATCTTTGAAAGCTGAATATCAGTCAGCTGTCGCTACGAGAAGTGTATGATTGTTTGTTGGTCAGGCTTAAATCCTTGCTAGTTATAAATGCTGCATATTTACAAATTAAGTTATATTCGATCATTAATAGAAGCTTTTGTTTCACTCCACGAGCCAATGAGTCATTCTCCCCTTTAACAAGAGAATCGGGGTGCTGTATCAAGAAACAGGCCTCGATAGGCTTGTGTGCTTCCATAAGCTATTCATGGGAATCGCCAGGAGAAGTTGAGTGTTGATTACTTCTGAAAGTTGAAGGGTGAAGATGCAGCCTAGCTAAAGCTTACTTCATTGTTAATTATTTCTCTGAGAGTGAGCGTTCTTTCAAGATTGACGTTGATTGAGAGAGTAACTTTTTGGAATATGACTCAGAAATAATCAATTTCAGTCATACAGGTAAATTGATAGTTATCTTAGAATTTCGTATACAATTTTTTGACATAAATTTACCGATACCTTGAGTTTCCTCAATTTGTCAGTCAATTTCTTCAACAAATTTGAGTTTTTTGGTCGTTAAAACCTTTCCATAAAAGCGTATTTTGTTCCCTTGTCAGAGAGGGCACTATGAATAGACACTGGTAGGATGTGTGAACGTGCCAGAAATGTTTTCTTTTCCTTCATAGGGACAGCTCAGAAATGCATAGCTTGAGCTTAGTCGTGTGTTTCATAACCATACTGACTTCATCAGCATGTCAAGTAACGGATGAGGCAGAGAAGACATCAGAACCTGCTACGTGTGTTTATAAGGGCTACGAAGAAGAAGTATACGACCTTACAAGTTTGGCAAACACCAATGAGGAGCCTAGGTTTGCATTCATAATGCATACACTTCTATCGTTTTTTTAAATTCTTTTCAACTGCAATGCGCTATTTAACCTTGCATCAACTTCTAATTGAACACGTTCATGAAGCTGAATGTAAGGTTTGAAACGTGGTAAATATCACCGGAGGATTATCACCAGGTATTCCTAGTGACAATTTTAGTTGAGGTATATTCGATTACAAGAGCGTATATATATGATAGATTTTAAATGATTTTTGGTTTACATACGATGCATGTCCAATCCCATGCTTGCATGATCAAATAATTCTAACAATCATTTGTCTCTTATTCCTGAACAGATTTTGCACAGAAGACCCCATGGGTTATAGCATCAGCTATAATCCATGCTTCTCTTTCAAAATAGGACCGAGTAAGGAAACAAACCCATGTAACTCTGGTGTGGCGGTAAGAAATAATTAAGGGAAACTCAGAAAGTATTGTTTAGTCAGGATGACAGATGAAACAAAAATTGATTTCTCCCGTTATTTATAGTAGATAGGAAGACGAGAAGTCGTTTTGTTGAATGATTCTGGACAGAAGAATACTTGAGGCCACCAAAAGTAATGTCATTGGGACTTTGGAATTCTGAAAAATTATGCCCATTCCTTCTGACGTCCCCTGAGAAAATGCTTGAGGTCTCTCGTCGATGCGCAACTCATTTGTAAAGATCCTTAATCATTAGAATATTTACTTTAAACTTGAGAAAGGCGTGGTTTTATTTCTAAAGAATTTTCACCTGAGGCAATTGGCCTAGAAGTTTTTTTTTTCTTACATCGTGTTTTATGGTAAAAACCTCCGTCAGACGGAAAATATAGTTTTGGGTGATGAACATTCCAACTCATTCACTTGTTTCAGATTTGTCGATGGGTTGAAGGTCATGATGATGCGTACGATAATATTGGTAGTGTGGAGGTCGGCGCATTTCGATGGGGGAGGCAAACACCCGAAGATATATTATCATCAGTGAGTATTTGTATTTACCCAGCGAAAAGAAAATAGTATATTTTTTCAAGAATCTTATAGTTTCCTGTAGGAAGTATGAGTTTTAGTTTCTTGCTCAGAGTGTATAGGATTGGGATAAACATGCATTGGCTACTTTGGTAATCATACCTTAGGTATCTTCCACGAATAGATATTTTATATACGGTCATATAGTGTTGGCATGATAGCCATCGATAACTAACTTCTTACTAACCGAGCGTGAGGCCCTACTGGGGAATATTGGCCAGAGGTCGTGGCACTGACAGACGGCAGCAAAGTCCGTACAACAACGACAGAGGGCCAATATTCCCTTATGCAACTCGAGCTAGTGAGGTAAGCGAGTAGTTTATTATATGGTTGTCGGACCTAACTTGTTTATTTTGGATTTGTCTGCTTATCACCGTTTCCATCCCGGCCAAGTAAGAACCAATCGGATTGCTCAAAGTTATCTCAGGACTATTTTTCAATATAATTATGATAATTTCATTAATTTACCTGGTAAGTTTATGGGTGGTGAGCTCCACTCTGTTTTGCTTTACGATGCGCGAACTGGTTTTGAGTGGGTTGTTTTAATTCTCTCGTGAGGCCAGCCTAAGTAAGATAATTCTATGATGGTAAGTGAATTTTCCTAATAACAAGTAAAAACAGTGATTCAAAATTCTTAATCGAACTCGCGCCAATTCTCCGCTCATAACTCGTGGGAAAGTTCTGTTTCGTATTTCTGTTCTACTCACAACTGAGTAAAAGTTGTACTTCTTATCTCTGAGTTTGCCCAACCGACATAAACATAATAAGAGAATACTTCTACCGAGTAATATTGAAATTAATGGTTATATATGCTGAAAAAGTAATGCTCATTCCTCAAATTTGAATTTCTTTTTTCCTTTCCTTCTAAGTTTCTTTTTAATTTTTTTCTCAAAAAGAGCTCTTCAAGCCTTTACTACACGTTTTGGTTAGGTTTTTAGTTAAGTATGCCAAGAAAAGAAGTTGGTTTCATGTCATCAACTCTTTAAGCTTAGCTGGACCCAGTAAACTCCGATTTGGCTTTCTACGATCCAGAGTTAGAGGCCCCTACAATGCGATGTTAGCATACTCGTAGCTTACATACTTTTGTGATGTTATGTTTTCTTTTCGTTCAGTTCGTCCAGTGGTATTAACTGGAAATCCACTGTATCACTGGTGTGCAATTCATCTGATGACAAAGGCCATTTCAGAGCTGAGAAGTATAAAAGTGCTGATGATGTTGTAAGTGACTGAAGGTCATTGTGAGGGTAGTAAAGAAGTGAAGGTTATTTGTAAGAGAAATATTAAGGAAAAAAGTTCACGCTTTACGTAAAATAAATTAGCTATTTCACACACACAAAATATATTTTTGCTGTGCTTTCCAAAAGCCATGTATATATATATATATATATATATATATATATGTATATATATATACATACATACATGCATATATATATATATATATATGCATGCACGCACGCATATATATATACGCACGCACGCACACACACACACACACACGCACACACACATACATACATACATACATACATACATACATACATACATACATACATACATACATACTGCCGAAGTAAACAAACACGGCGAAAATATGACTACTTCAATATTTTTGGGAAAAGAGAGGACGCCCTTCACAGATCTCGATAAGATCCTTTTCCGGCTATAAAATGACGTGTTTGTATTAATTTTGAAGACATTAAAAGGGGATCAGTAAGTCATGAAATCCTTCTCAATTTTCCCCTGTACAATTTTATATCCAGAACGAGCGATATGAAAAAAAAACAAACAAAACAAAACAAAATATATATATATATATATATATATAAACAAAGAAACCGAGGTGTCATTTCTGTCGAGCGAGGTACTTTGAGTTACTTACCCTACTGTTTAAACATGTAAGCAGTGTGTCCAAGTTTTGTCCACGTTTTTAGTCGTAGTTTTACCTGCTTAGAGAGGCTTCACCACTGGTCATTCACACCTACTCCATAAAATTACAAGGAATACGAAGAGAGTAATAAACTGTCTATTACTGCATTTATCTCCAGGAATTAAGTCTCTCCCATAAGTGTGCCTGCCCGAATATGTGTCTAATCAACCCTACAAGGAAACCCAAAACTACAGTTACCCCTGGTAAGTGAAATCATTTAACCATTATGTCGCAGCATTTCACGAGATTTTTGAAATGTGCAAAGAAAATTGGACAATATTATATTCTCTGGTTCCTCCTAGTGGTTCCTGTGGTCGCTGGTGTCATCTGTTTATTTGCTGTTCCTTTCATTATTATTATCTGGCGATGTGTCAGGCCACAGCCTCCCAACAACAATCCACCGCGTCCTATCGATCAGTTCGGAAACCATTTCTTGAATGACACTGATCCATCTGATTATGGTAGCACTAGCAACCCCCTCTCCAGTGCAAGTGAACCCACATCGGGAAGTGGGTCGTCAAGTTTAACTAAACCCTCGTCAACGAACTCATCGTCTTGTAATGATATCAAAGTGTCTTCTAAAGAGAATTCTAAAAGTAGTGAAAGGTCATATGTCTGTTGAAGAAGTCACGTTGGCGTGCTTAGCAGATCGCTGTTTAGACCATAGGAGATCATTTGGTTCCTCGCGAGCTGGATGAAATAATTTTATGGCGATAAAACTGGATAATGCGATTCAACTGTTTGAAAAGGGTATTAAAAACATAGCTCCAATTTAGAGTGAAACTTTTAGAATCGCTTCCAACCACATTACATTTTCATAATTAATCCAAAAGCGAAAGCTCAGGGCGCCCGAACTATATAGTTAATTCCTATTACAATACTTGTCATTTGCTTTCACAGCATACAACAACATATAAAGGAAATATAATCGGTATGTCAAGCTTTCCTAAGATACGAATTTTTAACTCGTGAATTGCGCGCATGCGCAAGAGTGAGTTGTAGATATGATGTGAGAATGGCACTCGCTTGCTCGCTCGATTGGTCGATTCCTGTAAACTTTTTTTCGATTTTAGGCTTTTGAGAGCATTTGATAGTTTTCGGCGAGTAATAAACAAACGAAACGGCGACCTTTGTTGCTAAGAATAGTGGTGGGGTGAAAAAGAAGACAATGATAATTTTAAAAGAATTTATTTTTTTCGTTTTAGTTTCAACAAGCGGCGCCAACGACAGGCAGGCGTGCGAGGATTCACACTGAAATAAGAGAACCTTCGTTTTTCATAAAATTGTAATTTACAATCCTTGCACTTGAAAACTATCCGAAGATTCATTAAAAATATCACTTATTCCAAAGCGCTCGGAGTTTACAAGTGTTCAAAAGCTTTTTCTGTTATGGCGTGAGATTGGGGACAAAATCGATCATTACATTTCGTATCGTGTGTTTTTTCTGTTTGAAGTAACAAAAAGTGCCGGCGACTGACGAACTTACAGGTCAACACGAAAATCAAATAACACCTAAACAAATAATTTTGGCTTCCGATTTTCAGTGAATTTTTAAAGAACAATTTTCTTTTAAGTTTCAAGACAAATTGAAGATTCAAAATAAATATTACGTATTAAAATGCGAAAGTTATACACCACAAAATTGATTACGATCTGAGGTCGTCTTTCGAGCAACTTTTTTATTTTATTACACACAGGCTTTACATGTAGTTACAGTGCAAGGTTTTCGCCAGCCAGCTTAGTCCTGATTCTGCGTTGTCCATAGATATAGCCTTTCAAAATGATGTGAAAGCCGTTTAATGTCGAAAGAAATTAAATTAAGCATGTGTATTACTTTCTCTCCAGCTTAATATAAATAAGACGAGAAACCATCTAAAACCATCTTAAACCACCGAAACCCATTTTAAACCACCTAAACCCCCCAAAAACAGACAAACCATCTTAAACCACTTAAAACCATTTAAAACTACCCACGATCGACAAAGAGAGTTCTCCGGGTACCGTACTGGAGACCTCTGTAATCAATTTCAATTTTCGATTTTTTGGGTCCCCTTCCCTCGTTTTTCATCGCTTTCTTGTACTGAATGAACGTTCTCTTACTTCACATGAAAATCCAATTTATTGGGTGTGACTGTGAGACATTTGTTGATAACATTTGTGCAATTTTGTCCTCTTTGACTCTAGTTTTCGATTGTAATTTTGTTGTCCATAAAGAAATTATAGGAACAATGATGGCCTTTGTAACTTGCACGCTTCTCCATCTTCTCCTATTTTTTGAGCACAATGATAGTCCGAATCATTCATCTACAGGTGGCCTCTTAAACAAGCCAACTATCTCCATCTCAAGCTGAGATAATATTTCTTTGACTGTAGGTGGTTTTAGATGGTTGTAATGAGGTGATTTAGATGGTTGTACAGAGGTGTTTTTAGATAGTTGTACTGAGGTAGTTCTAGATGGTTGTACAGAGGTAGTTTTAGATGGTCGTACAGGGGTGGTTTTAGATGGTTGTACTGAGGTTCTTCTAGATGGTTGTACAGAGGTAGTTTTTTAGATGGTTGTACAGAGGTGGTTTTAGATGGTTGTACTGAGGTGGTTTTAGATGGTTTAGGATGGTTTGCTTGTAGATTGTTTAAGATGGTTGTGGATGGTTTAAGGCATGGTTACATGAAGGTGGGGGACCCTAGTTAGGTGAGGTAACCTGCCTACCTGTGATTGAGAAATAGCCTGTGTTAATGTACAATCTTACAACCCCAGGATCTCAACCTGTCTAGCAACCCCAGCAAGATAAGTTAACCCACCTTGGGATTTTTACATGGAAAATTGCCACCCCTGCTGGGAGACGTTCTCCTGAGCAGGTCACCCCACCTATCATGTAAATACGATCAAGATAAAATACGAGATTATATGGATAGGCGGGTTACCTCACCTAGGTGGGGTCCCCCGACCTTCGTCTAAACAGGCCCCCAGGATAGTTCTAACATGGTTTCAGTTGCTTGTACATGACTTTAGATGGTTTGAGTTGGCTGTAGATGGTTTAAGTTGGTTGTAGATGGTTTAAGTTGGCTGTAGATGGTTTGAGGTGGTTGTAGATGGTTTGAGTTGGTTGTAGTTGGTTACAGATGCTTTCAGATGGTTTCAAATGGTTACAGATCGTTTTAGATGATTTAAGGAGTTATAAATGGTTTTAGATAGTTTAAAATAGTTCTAAATGGTTTTAGTAGATTTAAGATGATTGTCAATGTTTTTAGTCGGTTCAAATGATTTAAGATGGGTTTACATGGTTTTAGATGGTTTCAGATGGTTTAGGATTTTTTAGATCCTGATAGTTTGTTTTCAGTTGCATATATTGGTTTTAGTTTGTACTGGGGGGGAGGGGGGGTTTAGGTCAGGCCATGTTTTAGTATTTTCCTTTCTTTGCAGCTTATGGGTTACCCACATAAGTTTTATCATATATAAATACAGTAAAAACCAATTGAACTAAGTGTTTCCAATAAGGCACTAAATACAAGGATGTTAATGCAGGAGGTAATATTCATAACTGACTTCTGACAATTTTCAAATGTTCTTCACGCCAGCAACTAGCAATTGAAAAAAGTCATTGGGGTGCTTCAGATTTACATATTTTTAATTTATTTATTTATTTGCTATTGCTATTTTTTTCCCACCTCTCTCTCCCTCCCTCTCTCTCTAGAAGAAAATGAGGGCTCTTTCCTGAATTTTCCCTCTTTTGATAATAGATTAACTGTTTTCGTGTAGTAACTTTTGACAACCCCTATGACAAAGCTTGAGGACCCAACCTGTCTGCATGCGAGCGATTCACCAATACCATCTAATCCTCACTGAAGCAGCAGGTTATTTGTGCTTATGAGAGCACGAAAGTGCCCTAGGTCGTGGTATCGGCCAATTCAAAAGCTGCCGTGTATGTGTATGTGTTTGACTTTTCAAGTCGATGAAAGGTTTCAGAATTCGAAAAAGGCCTTTTTTGCGTTTTGAAAGTTTGGACAATGAAATTGGCAACTTCACTTTTATCAATTTCGCTCAAAATTATACTGTAGGTAGAACAATCATTTGGCAACAAATCAAAGCAAACTTGAGTACAGAATCACGTTTAAAGAGATGATCACGACATCTGTATCAATCTCAAAGCCTAAGGTCAAATAGATTCTTCAAAAGGAAAATGGGGAAAAGGAACTCTTTCAAAAAGCTCGTTAGAAACGATAATTAATCGAAATACGAAAGGCGCCTTTAAAGACCATCTAAGACAACTCAAGAGTTGTTTTCAAAATAGTTAACAGTTGATGAAGTCTCGACAAATGTGTTAGATGTCCCGCTTACATGCTTAAGCACCTCAGGCTATTTTGCTAGTAGAAATTAATGCGCCGAAATGTTTTACCCTGTCCTCTTCTAAAGTTTTAAGTTCAACCTGGTACCTAAAGATGTTGCAACCCGGGGAAGTTAGTTGCGTTAAAATACATTGTAACTCGAATGTTTGTTCTTCGGAGTAAAAAATTTGACGACATTCCTGTCGAATCATAAACGGTCTAAATAATTACATCTTTTTGCACGCTTGTCTACAATGTGCTGTTATCAAGCGTCTTGGGATTTGCTAGAGATTTTAATAAAGTTCACGTTATGATAATAGGTTATACAATCTACTTTAAGTTATTGTTTGTCTTGTCTCCACGTCTATGCAACTCCAAGGAACACAGTCAGTGTTACATAAAATGATGGGTTGTTCAATAAATGAGACTAGTGAGTGTTTAGAAACAACTGAGAAATTGTATCTAAAGCGGCTGCAAAAGCACCAAATTTGTTTGTGCTCTGTTTGCTTTAAGTTTGGTAATGAACTAGGAAAATACCTGCCGCTTCTATTGCAATGAAGTTGACGTTTTTTCTTAGAGTAACACCTAATATTCAAGTCGCCAAAGTTTCCTTGTGTCGTCACAAAATATCCCTAGTGACGTCGCCAAAGTTCCCTGTGCACGTCATAAAAGTTCCCTAAGTCATAAACGTTCCATATTTTCGTCACCAAAGTTCCCTATTTTCGTCACAAAAGTGCCCTTTCTTCTAGCTCTCTCTCTCTCCCTCTCCTTCTAGAGGTATAATGGGCACTTTTGTAACTTTGTTTTCTCTTCGGCCAGAAAATCGCCCTTTATCTCTATTGAGATCCGGTTTTCGCATTTCCTGAAACTAAACGTTGCCCTCCTTCTACCCTGTGAAAATATTTGCCAGACTTTCAAAGCAAAACGCATTATAAACATTTAAACTGCGTTCAGGTTACAAAAGTTCCCTATGCTGTGGAAAGGTCTACTTTTTGGTCTTAAGTCACCAATATCTCTGCGGTATATGGGTATTTAGGAGCGTAGTTCACGCCATACAATTCACTCTTTCTCCACCTTAAATTGGGAGTTGGCTATTGCGTGTGGAAAAATTTTGTCAGTTTCCGCATACACTTCTCGTGTCGAGTTGAAGTTTCCAGTTTGATGAAAACGCCTTTTTGCAGACAGCACAATTCGAAACTTAGCTTTGTCCTTTTTACTGGGTCAAATTTTATTACATTTATGCCAAAGGTAGGTATACTATTTTTGTTTATGATTCTGAAATTTTGCAGCTTTTAATTGAATCTTTATATCAAAAAATAGCTTTCATGTAGGGGTTGTTAAATGAAGAATGCAAAGTTACGGAAGTGCCTGTTTAGCAAGATGTTCCGTCAGTGAGAGAAGCACATTTTTTTTAATGAAACATCAAATGCTTTGTTGAAGAACAAGACCTAATTGACAGCTTCCATCTTCGAAAATCTCAGGGCATAGCAACAAAAAATATGTATGCAATACTACTATTTTCCTAAAAAAAGCGCAAAATCGGCATTCGCAAGAACTGCGTATGTTCTTCAAGACCGGATTTTTTCATCCAGCAACAAAGGAAAGAAAAAAAAAACGAAAAAAATCAGTAGGCCACAGCACACCATTACATTACACCGCACACATCGTGTTGAAGTCACTTATTAAATAAAATGCTTAGAATCGCTGTATCTAATTGAGAAGGATGCATTTTTTCTCTTTCACAAGGCAAATTTTGAAATAGCGTTGACGTCTTTTCAGTTAAACAGTTCTTTATAAACCTGATGTTATAAAAGGTTTTGTGAAGTTTTTGATTTAACCAATTGACTTTTAAGGCAAGGCAAGTTCTGCTTTCAATTCAAAACGTCCTAACAAGACCTGTTAGATCTAACAAGACAACCAAACGTAAACTACAGAGCGCGCTAAGAACTGAGATTTGGGTTAGTCAGTTGCGTTTTCTAGCTTCCATAAAGTAATAGTGTTCATGAAAGAATAACAAATTCGTTGTTTCTATTCACGCTTAGGCCTAACAAGACAATCAAACTTAAACTATAGAGTGCGCCTAAAACTGACAAAGCAATCAAACGTAAACTACGGAGCGCCCTTAGACATAACGAAACAATCAAACGTAAACTACAGAGTGTGCTTAGAACTAACAAATCAATCAAACATAAACTAAAAAGCGCGCTTAGAACTAATTAAACAATTAAACGTAAACTGCAGGGCGCGCTTAGAACTAACATAACAATCAAATAAAAACAACAGAGCGCGCTTAGAACTAACAAAAAAGAATCAAACGTTAACTAAAGAGATCGCTTAGACCTAACAAAATAATCAAACGTAATTTACAGAGCGCGCTTAGGACTAGGATAACAATCAAACGTAAACTACAGAGCGCGCTTAGACCTAACAAG